CCCTTCAGATTAACATTTATCAATTACAGATAAATACATTGGGACAAGATATATGAGCCCTGTGGTGTCCTGTCAGAAGAGACATGTGAAGAAGAGATGCACAAACTACCCTCTAGAATTTGGGTGCTCGAATATAGTGTGGATGGACCTGTATGTTCTATTACCTGATGACCAGAAAAACATTTCCACAGCTTCCTTTGGCCAAGACTTATAAACCTGGGAGATAGTGCCACTTTAATACCTGAGGCCTCAGCTTGACTAGGCCATCTTTTTAGTAGTAATCACAACTTTTTAAACTAGTGCCAGGCCCATTCCCTACAGCAAGGGTGGGGAACCTCCAGCCCACTGCCCTACTTAGGGTTGCCGGGGGTCCCAGTTTGGCCCACAAGGACAGTTTCCTCACATCCAACCCGCCTGCCCCACACCTGATGTCATGCAACATTAAATGTGGCATGTGGAGCAGATACATACAACTTTTAGAAGACATCTGAAGGCAGCCCTTTATTGGGTAGTTTTTAATGTCTGACATTTTATTATGTTTTTATATGTACTGGAAGCTGCCCAGAGTGGCTGAGGAAACCCAGCCACATGGGCTGGGTATAAATAATAAAAATTATTATAATTATTATTATTCTAGAGAGAGCTGGTCTCAAGGAAAGAAGGGCATTAACCCAATCACGTTGGAAAGCAGTTGCACACAAAATATCCCCTATAAAGAACCCTTTCAAAACCTTAGTAAGGAACAGCAATCCTTACACCAGATATAAATCCTTGCACTTGTAGAGAAGCCCTTATAGGGCAGTAGTGGTAGTGCTGGCATGCTGAAGGGAATGATAGTCAGCTGCTTAGGAGACAACGATACCTGGAAGTAGTCGCTCCCCTCCATTTTGTTCTTACCTGAAAACTAGGCCTTTGTGATGCCATTCGGCTCCTGCCACACTCCAGCCCTGCACCTCATCTGGGAGTGGGGCGGGGCAAGGAGGAAGGAAAAACACACCACCGCTCTTCTTCTCCATTTTGTTGTTACTTGAAAAGTTGAGCCTCAGTGCAGCCATTAATCTTTTGTCACACTCCAACTCTGAACCTCGTGATAGGAAGGGGGTAAAGGTAGCTCTGCCTTCTCAGAACAAGGAGGTGTGGCTGGACTTGCTCTCCAATCAGTACTGAAGTGCACTTCCAGCTTTCACCAACAAAGAGACAATAGCTTCTTAAGGAGGACCAGTTATTTATTCCACATGCAAAGCTATTTAGGCCTACAGCCCTTCATTCCAACCGGCCACAATGAGTGCTGTCACCTCAGGGCAACCAATCAGGCCACACGCTACTAGGAGGCAGAAGGGCCTCCATCAAATATTAACCTTCCACTCCAATGGGCAGTTTGCAGGTTCTTAACAAAACTTGCTAGGCCTCAGTACATCGATTAGGCCATTTCCGTGGGGAAGGAGACTAATTGCTTCAAGAAAAGAGTGAGAGCAAACACATGCTTCTTCTGCCTCAGAGACCTTGAACGGAAAAGGCAGTCCACATAATAAAATGCCAGGAGGAGAGGACCCAGGCAACCCTTTTGGTTCATACCTTCATAGCTTCTCCATAGCTTGCTTGGCATCCGTGAGCTACAATGACTGCCAGGCAGCCACTTAATGGCTCTTTCAAAATAGTGCGGAATGCCATGGGGCAAGGGCAGTCAACATGGTGCCCTCCAGATGTTGCTGGATTTGAATGATGGTGTCCAAAGATCAGGGAGAAGGCGCTACCAGTCAGTCAAGCCATAGTGGCTGAGTAGCCCCTTCACCACACTTCTAGGCCTGAATTCATGGAAGAAAGAGGTGCTGCTGAACAGGGGCCCTCAACTGCTTCAATGTCAGTTGCTTTCTGGCTCTGAGGGTCTGAAAGTGGGGGTGAGACACAGGATATAAACCCAGGAAAACTATGTAAGGAGTCGAATGTCATCTCTGTTCAGGAGCTCTTCCGACTTTGGGGTCAGTGTAGCCAAAACTCATAGCTGCAACCTATCTGAAATAGTGGGGGTGCTGAAAAGCAGAGCTCCCTCCATTGACTCTGCTATGACCGGCCAGCTCTGTCAGGCCTCATTTCCCATCAGGGGTCACCTCAGGGCAGCCATTGCATCAGACTGCCTCAATACAGAGCTCATTTCATCAGCTTTGCTGGAGGCCCAGCTTCACCAGAAACCTCCTACCCCTGGATATGCTAGCTGGTTAATTGTAGGTGAGGCATAATTACCTTTCTTCCGCCCTTTCCAGGTATGATTGATCTGTGCTTTAAAGCTCTGTGTCTGAGCACCCTTTTTATTTTTTCCTCTGGACCTTTTCTCATGATAACTTGCTCTTTAAAGCTCAATTGGAGCAAACAGCGATGCGCTTAAGATCTCAATTGACATTTGTGCTGACTTAACGTTAAAGACCATATATTAAGATTAATATATTAAACTGAAGAATCACCATTACCATATGTTTTATTGCACTTTGCTTTTTTAAAAAACAAAACAAAACTTGATTTACGTTCTTAGAATTTCTGCTTCATGTAATTTAGGATAGTTTTAATTTTTTTAAACTAAAAGTGTGGGCTGACTCCATTATCCTCTTTGTTATTTTTGCGGGGAAAGCTCTGGGGGAACATCCTCACACACAAAAGACCATGCTCAGACACAGAGCTTTTAAGCATGCACCTGTGCCTGCAAAGAGTGGGGCAGAAGGTAATTGTGAATAATTTTGATTTTCCTCTTTCCTCCATGTCCCTTTTCCCTTTTGTGTTGTGGGATTAAGATGGTAAGTGTTATGTACTGAAGTTCTCACCCTGGGCCAGCAGGGGGGATACTGTAGATAGTTATGTAAATGAAGTATCGAAAGTGACATTCAGTGATTGGATAGTTTTAGAAAGTTGTTACAGTAACAAGGTACTGGAGCTCTATATAAGCAGGCTGACTGAGCCCTTCAGCTCAGTTCAGTTCTGGCCTCAGAATAAAGAAGAGCTGTTTGAAGAATCGCTGTGTCGTCTGATATGTTCGCCCACAACCTAACAGTAACCCTCCAGGTAGGACCTGTCTTGTTTGTTTGATCATATTTAAGCTGCTCTGGAATTCATTTTGGCTGAAGCAAAAGATGCTAATGCTGTAATTAAATAAATGAATAAATAAATAAATAAAAATCTTTAAACAACATTGCAACAGCTTAGAAATGAGTAAAGCCAAAGGCTTGTTATTGCTAAGCAGCCAGTGCTCAGGTGGGTGCTGTGAAGAAAATTCTCTTTTGTGACAACTTACATTGGTGAAGCGGAAGAGGCTATGATAACTGTCCTCTGAAGGTTTTAGGAGGAGAGATTCTGCCGCTTGCCTCCTCCTTGGCTTCCCCTGCCATTTTGCAAGACAGTAATGCGACTGAATTAGTGCTGCTCAAAATGGTTGCTCTCCTGGGCTGAGTTCTGGCATCCTGTAGAGCTACCCAGTGGCGTTGCAAGTGGGGGGGGGCATGGTGCACCCCGGGTTCTGTGTTGGGAGGGTGACAAGAAGGCACCCCATGGGGTGCTTGCCCTGCCGCCCCAGCTTTAGTGTGGCGGTGTGAGCAGCCATTGCACCTCCGCGGCCGCATGTGGAGGATCCTCTGTTCGTGGCTGCAGCAGCGAGCAGAAGATCCCACCGTCCGTACGGCGTTCGAGTGGCGCCGGCAGCAAACCGTTACGTACAACATATGTGCGGTGTCAAACGCATGCGCTGTACGCAGCAACGCCGCACATGTGCTGTACATAGCGGTTTACCGCCAGCGTCACCCGAGCACCGTACAGACAGCGGTGGGATGCCGCCGTTGCCACTACAGCCACACGCAGAGGATCCCACGGCCGCCAGTGCAGCCACGAGCAGAGGATCCCACCACCATCCGTACGGCTCTTGGGCAGCGCCAACAGCAAACCACTACGTACAACACATAGGCGGTGTCACATGCATGCGTGGTGTGTAGCGACACTGCACATGCGCTGCACATAGTGGTTTGCCACTGGCGCCGCTGGACCGCCATACGGATGGCGGTGGGACCCCCCCCCCGCTGCCAGCAGGAGCTCGGGGTACTTGGGAGTTGCAGGGGTCAGGCACAGAGGTATAGGAAGGGGGGCGACTCCCAAGCCTACCCCAAGCTGTCGATGTGTGCGGGGGGGGGGGAGTGACAAAAAAAATTCTACACCGGGTACCACCTGGGCTTGCTACGCCTCTCGATGTGATGGCCTGGGAATCTGATTCAGAGGCTGAACCTGAGGAATCCCAGCCTGCACAGGAGTCCCCACCTCCAGGGCCGGCTGAGCTGGGGCAGGGGCTTGAACCTGAAGGGCCCTCACCTGTGCCGGATCCTCAGGAGCAGACACCAGCTGAATCCGCTCTGGCTCCAGAGGTGATCGAGGACCCATTGCCTGCAGGTGCTCCTCTCCCAGCCCTGTCAGGGGAAGGTGAGGTTGCCTCTGGGTCCAGTAACCTTCCAGCCTCTCCTGAGCTGCAGAGGCTCAGGGCAGAGAGGCGGAGGGAACTAAGTTCTCTCAGGAGGAGTGCTCGCCTTAAGGCCAGGAGAGGTGAGTCACCTGTGGACCGCCCTATGGGCTGCCCATAGGTCACCTCTGGGCCGCCCTATGCCTCAGAAGAGATAAAGGCCAGCCAGCCCAGCCCCAGGTTGCGGTTACCTGTTCCTGCCGGCACCCTGTCCTGCTTTCTGCCAGAGTTCCTGACCACGCCCGACTCCCTGCCCTGGACCCCGCTTCAGCCTCGGACCGGACACGGACCACGCCACGTGGTACCCCCCCCCCCGGACCAGCACACTCGAGCTACCCACAACCCTTCCCAGTAGGTTTTGCCCCAGTGAAGTTATTGCAAGGATTGAAGGTCTCCGCCTTCCCACCGCTCTCTAAGGCTCATCCCCCAGTTCCTTCCCCAGCAGCCAAAAGCTTCATCTCTTGTTCTCATTGCTCTTCCCTCTTTATTTCTCTGCATGTTCTGGGAGGGTGGGGGGAGGACTGGTTGCAGCAGGAGGGGGAGACTCCCTGGGTTCTTCAGCAGCCTGCCTCATCTGTGTCTCCTAGTCCGGCTCCTCTCCTGCCACAGCCTCTTCCAGCTCACTAACCCTTCTTGCCTCTTCAGATTCCAGTACCCTATCCTCCCAGTCTGCTCCCCTTTCCTTTTCTGACCACACATTGTCATCCCACCACCAATTTTCTGCCTCTGAGCCTTCATCCCCTGGGGGTTCTCCAACTGGTGCCCCCCCCCCGCAGCCAGTCCATGACAAGAATCCACCTTTGAAGCATATTAGAAGGGCCTGCTTCATAGCAGTTCAGAACATTGATCCATCTAGTTCAATATTGTCAGCACTGACTGGCAGCAGCTTTCCAGCATTTCAGACTCTTTCCCAGCGCTACCTGGAGATGCTAGGGAAAGTGGGACTTTTTGCATGCAAAGGATGTTGATTTTGCAGATTGAGTGATGTGATGCAAGTTCTAGGGTTTGGATTTACTGGAATGATGTACCATATTTTTCCGTGTAAGATTTTTTTACTTTTAAAAAAATTGTAAAAAATTTGGAGTCTTATACACTGATGGTGCTAACCTGTGGACAGAAAACCATTTTAAAATTCAAACTTGCATTCTAGCCAACTTCAATTTCACGTTGCAAAGGGATCAAACGCGAGCAGCATTGGAGTGTTGTTGACCGAACACCCTGCGTTTACTCGGAAGCGGACCTAGCGCCGTCTCCTCTCACTTTGAGCCTCGCTGGAGCCAGAAGGATGCAGGACAACGCTGCATCCTTTTGCTTGTGGTGCTGCTGCTGCACCAAGATGCTGGGCTGCTCGGCGAGATGCAATCGACACTTTCGCTAATACTTTGGGACCAGTGAATCAGGCGAACCCGCCCCTCCCATTTATTTGCACCCCGCTTTGATCGATCACCTTTTCGGTGCTGCAGCGATGGGACAGCCCACCCCACCAAGACGTCAGCCCCGTGCAGCGTCTGGAAGCAGCTGCGTGGTGGTGTCCTTTTTCGCCCGAGTCCCGATCCCTAGCCCCGCTGACACCTCCTCCTGCCCGAGAGCGCCCCTCTGTAAGTGGCCAGGCGCCTTGGAGAGGGAGGGAGGCTCGGTCCCGCCCGCTGGGAGGTGGGAATAGGGGCTGCCCCATGGAGCGGTCCCTGCTGCTGCTGCTGCTGCACTGGGAGCCGGGGTCAGTGCATGCCATCGGAAGGTGCCCGGGGGGCCACTGAGAGCGGCTGTCGGCGTGGAAGGAGGGGGAGGGGAAACGGATCTCCTCCTTCCTGGAGAGACCTGGACCCGGTGGCGGCAGCAGTAGCAGTAGCTGCCTGACCTTCCCGTCCCTCTCCAGGGACCTTTCGCTGGTGCAGCGCGCGGCTGTGCTTGGGAGGTGCGCTCTCAATGTCACGATCGGTCCATGTGCGCAGCTGATACTGAGGGCCCAGCTCTGAAGCCCGGGGGCGATCAGCAGCAGGAGGAGGAGGAGGAGGAGGAAGATCAAGGGGACTCCCAAGTGATGAGAAGTTGAGGGAACCCTGAAGTTGCACCCCCTTGCTTGCTTCCTCCTCCAGCCCGGAGGCAGCAGCCGAGCTCCGCATCAGGTACAGCGGCTGATAGCGGAAGAGACACCAAGGGGAGCGAAGGGAATCTGCTGCTTCTCCCGGACCGGCCGCCGCCTCCGCAGCGGATTTGGAAAAGAGCAGCAAACGCCCATTGCGTTTAAAGGGGACGGGCGGAACATCGCCGCGGGCTAGACGCTCCCCAACCCTCTCTGACGCTTCCTCTTCTCGCCCCCATTTCCGAGGCAAAGGCAGGGGATCAGGTCCTGCAGTGAGGTAAGGAAGCGGAGGAGCTTTGCAGGGAACCGCGGCGGCTGCCTCTTGGCGCTGGCAAGAGAAGGGGGTGCTGAAGGTGAAACAGGCGTCGCTGCTGGAGAAGAGGGGTTGGGCAGGTGGGAAAGTTGGCCGGCGGGGCGGGCGCACGCCCGGGGAGCGGGTTGTGTGCGTGCGCGCGCGCCTGCCTGCGAGCCCGCACTTGGCCACGAGGGCTGGGGAGGGTCGCCGAGGGGAGACGGAAGCCGGGGGCAAGGGTGGAGTCGACGCCGCGCTGGGAAGCTGAAGGGCGCGGGTAGCTTAGGAACCTCAGGTGGAGACAGAGCATCACGTGTGTGCTGTGGAGGGAGAAGGGGTGGGTGGGAGTTGTGGACACACAGCTTAGTATCCCAGTCCGGGGGGTGTGTATGTGTGTGTTTTGCTCTCTCTCCCTATGTGTGTGTGTAGAGAGAGGGGAGCGCGCGCCCAGGCAAGAGTTTGTATCTATTAGGTGTCCCCGCGCGCGTCTGTCTCCTTCCACTCCGGGAGTTTGTGTATACAGTATATGTACAGTATGTATATATATGCGCGCGCGTGTCTCGGGCGAGGAAGTTGGCCGGAGGGCGCCGAGGAGGACTAGGAGAGGGCTGCTTCTGAGAGGAGCCTCGTCCAAATCCTCGCCCGCTCTTTTCTTCCTCCTGCAGAAACTTTCAACTCATTTCCCCAGCCGCAGACTCCTTCTCCCCACGCAACTGAACTCCCGGCTGCCCTTGGCTGGCGGGACGGTGCCCGACGCCCCCTGAGGGAGGAGCCTGAGGCGCAGCGAGAGGGGTTAAGCCCGGGGCCCCGTGGGAAGGAGGCATCAAGGATAGGGGGTCGTGGGGGTGGGAAGGGGGAAGGGGTTGCTTCCAGAAAAAAGGGGTTTTTTGTGTCTGGGGAAGTAAGTTGGAAGTTTCTGGAGGAGGAAGAAAAGAACGGGTGAGGATTTGGACGAAAGAGTACATTAAGGGAAGTAGAGGCAGGCTGTGCACATGGCTGCAGGAGGGCAGGCTTTATGTGTTTTGGGGGGGGCAGAATTGAGCTATCTGCCATGTGGTTGGCTAGTTAAGTATTATTTATTTGTTCGTTTGTTTGATGGGGGGAGCAGCTGCCCTCCCCGCCCCCTTTGGTTATGCCCATGGTTGTGCATCCAACAGCCCGCTGGAGGGGGGGGATGAGGGGCTTTGTTTTAAAAAGTGCTTCAGTATCATTGGGGAGGGAAAGAGGCTGGTCTCCCAGGAACAACAAAACTTAGTGCCATTGCCATGAACAGATGGGGTGGAGCTCCTAGACCTGGAAGTAGAGCTTATTTCTAGGGCCTCTATACGTTGTGTTTGGGATATGTAATGCCAGTAGAAGAAGAAAGAAAGAGGGTGTGGGGAGCCTCTCTTGGGCAGCAGGCCAAGCAGGCTTGTATGGAAGTGAGATCAGTAGCTCAGAAGCATGGTGGGGTGGACTAGAGGGCTTATTTGAACTTGCTAGGAGCAGGTCCAGTATTGCAGGCAGGAGTTGAAAGTGTTCTGGGGGGATTATAGACAGTTGTCATTGGAGGGGATATGCATACAGAAAGGGCATAGGCAGTGCTATTTCTCTAGAAAAAGAAGTGCTGGAACTCACTATGAATGCCTCCCTTGTTGTCTTACAATGGTAATGGCTCCCACCTGAGAGGTGCCAGAACTGAGTTCTGGCTGAAAAAAGCCCTGGGCATTGGAATATAGGGAATTAACTAGTGCTGAGCTGCACTGCTCCCCTGATCTGATTAAGAAGGGTAGAATGGAAGGTGTATCTGAAAAAAAACTGAATGGCACAAACTCAAATGTGTATTGTTAGGCTGAACACACCTGGCTTGTAGAGAGAGAGGTGATGCTTCATGTGGGAACCGACGATGGGTCCTTGACAAAATGCTAGTGGAGTCTCAGCTATATACGGTATTTGGAAAAGGAACAGACTGTGTGGAATAATAATAATACAGGACAGGTACCATCTAGATACAGTCTACTCTAAAGAAGAAGAATAGTGTGTTGCAAAGGCTTTAGGAGAACTAAAATCCCAGGTACAGCTTGACTTTGCTCATTTGCTTCTGCTGCACCACTGCAGTAAGCACCTCCTCTCCATCTGTTCCAATGCTACCGCTTCTTCACATTATTTGTCCTTCTTAGAACCGTAATGCCACAATCCTTGCCAGTCATGCAAAGCGTTCATTATTTTTGTATAGGAGCTGTGAAACTGAAGTATTTAAATGACAAAATGCCTTTTAATACAATATGCCTACTTGTACTTTTATCACTGTTTAAAAACTAATTTTGTGTAGATATTGGTAGATACAGATTCATTTTGTTGTGACATTGAAAGTGAAGTATTCAATTTTGTTTGAATATATTTAGGCACTGGCATAAAAATGAATACAGTAAATAGCCAAAGAAATAATTAAATACAATAGGAACATATAGCTCTTCAATTTGCTTAAGCAATCTTTTTTCTGATTAAAATATTTTGGCTGCTAACTTGTCCTTCCATACAGTACGCAATTAAGTTCAACCAAAACTATCTCACAAATGAAAAAGGATTGCAGATTTCTTGATAGACCCCTCCAGTGATGGTTGCTAGACATTACTGGATTATGATTGGTTTAAAAAATTGGAATTTATATTAGTCAAAATAGAAATAGTGGCATAACATAATCATTTATTTTTAATGTACCACATTCGTATCCTCTATCTTTCCTCCAAAGATACTGCCAAATGCTATCTTGACAAGCACCCTGTGCGGTTGCGTAGCCTGAGAAATAGTGACTGGCACAAGGTCAATTTGTGGCTATCTGGAATTACATCTCTCCAGTCCTACAGAACAATGCTAACCACGCCCTGAGGGATGATGAGAATTGCAGATCCACTGCCACACCTGAATCCCTTCTGGCTTCTGCTGTTCAGGGTAGACCGTGGGACAGGCTATTCTCTTGAGATTTTGCTGTACCAGTTTCAGGCTGGCACAGTAGAGAATATTTTTATATATGATCAACCACATATAAAGGGGAGGTAGATATTACTTCAAGGAAAAGTAAACATTCTTCTTGACTCATCCTGATGTTTGAGCAGATAAATAGGCACAGAACGCGACAGATTTGCCAGTTACCTTGTTTTAGTGGTGCAGCCAGGAAAAATGAAACTAAGCTTGAGATAATAATGTGTATTTATTCCTATACTTGATAATGTGGTGAACCAGTCATGCTGCATGGGGGAGGGCATGCACGTTTTGCTGGATAGGACTAGGAACTTCTGCCCAAAGTCCTGCCCTGAAGGCACCACTGCCCTACACCAGCACTTTGGGTAGAGGTTATGCATTTTTGTACATTAATGGAGCTCCCTCTTCCAAACCTTGATGAAGGTTAATGTTTTACTCAAGCTATGCAATCCAGAGAAATAGGAGTAAGCCATAGCACGGCTTGACAAAGGACGTTGGCATAAATTAGCAAAATAAGGTGACATTGAATTGGGAGAATTTGTTTCGGGACAAGTCTGGTGGAAGTCAAGGAGCGGGTGTTTGGTAATGGGGCTTGGTTAAAATGGAAGAAATGCTGGGGGTGAATGATGTTTGGGGAGGCGAATGAGGTTTGGGCTAAGTGAGAATGGGGGGGGGAGTGAAGGGGAGGAGGCCATGCTGTTGGAAATACTGGGGTGCCATAAAAGGAAAAGGTTATTGGTCCTACCTTTTGCCTTTTAGCTCACATGTGACTGCTCCTCAGGAGCTCAGAGTTTCAGCTATATATACATTTTAAATGGGTCTGTGTAAGTAGGCCAGAAGTCATGAAGGGTCAATAGTTGTTACGAGATTTTTTTTTAAAAAACCAGCTATACTAGTCACAACAAATGTTCTAGCCACAATTTATAGTCATACCTCGAGTTGAATGTGCTTCGGGTTGAGTGTGTTCGAGTTGCGCGTTACTTCCGGGTTTCGCTGCTCGCGCAGATGCTCAAAATCATGTCACGTGCGTGCGCGGAAGTGGTGAAACGCAGCACGTGCAGACGCATCGTCACGTCTTGCGTTCCATTCGGGATGCGAACGGGGCTCCGGAACGGATCCCGTTCGCATCCCAAGGTACCACTGTATTGAAATCTGAAGAGGTGAAGCAATTTCTTTATTCTTGCACACAATCCTTCATACTCACTGATGATACCCCCAACTCTAAAATGTGAAATGACACTGCTGATAAAGTGAGAAACAGTGATTGGGTGGGTGCCTCAAGTGAGGAAAAATGAAGGGGCTGAGTTGTATAATAAAAATTGGGAAAGAGGCATGGAAAGAAAGGTGTAGAAATAGGATTACAGATTTATCAGGCTTCTTGGGGAGTGCCCATCATCTTCATGCAAAATGGAAGTGGGAAGAAGCCAGGGGATTTGGAAAGAGCCAATAATTTTTTATTGCTTAACTATGCGTGGTGTAAACAAATGCCTGTACACTTCTAAACAGCCTCCCATCCAATTGTGATAATGAGCATCTCCAAACACAAAATGAGGGGGTGGCTGATTTTTGGGGTTATGAAATGCAGCAAGTTGTTAGGTAAGTTAGTATTATTGTAATATTACTACCTGGGGCAAGTACTTGTGGGATTTGGGGGGCGGGTACCATGTACCTGGGACGCGGGTGGCACTGTGGGTTAAACCATAGAGCCTAGGACTTGCCGATCAGAAGGTCAACGGTTCGAATCCCCTCGACGGGGTGAGCTCCCGTTGCTCGGTCCCTGCTCCTGCCAACCTAGCAGTTCGAAAGCACGTCAAAGTGCAAGTAGATAAATAGGTACCACTCCAGCGGGAAGGTAAACGGCGTTTCCGTGCGCTGCTCTGGTTCGCCAGAAGCAGCTTAGTCATGCTGGCCACATGACCTGGAAGCTGTATGCCGGCTCCCTCGGCCAGTAAAGTGAGATGAGCGCCGCAACCCCAGAGTCGGCCACGACTGGACCTTTACCTTACCATGTACCTTGACTTGAGTGGTGGGATCAGCATTTGCTGTTTTGCCTCAGATATCATCATGTCTTCGGCTGGGCCAGACTAGACAGGACAAAGCTTTACAAAAGTTAAATCTGCCTAATTTGGAGCCACAAATTATTATTAGATATATAAGCAATCAGCCTAGTAATTTTTTTCCACAGACTAGTAAATTTTGCATACTTATTGACAAGTCATATGTCAACTTTATATGTTCTGAAGCTACTTTCAGTGTTCACCAGTTTAGCAGAGAGGGTCAGATTTGATGAAGTGAACATGCATGGGGGTCGACCGAAGTTGCTGAGCTTTTTTAAGGATTTTACCTCAGGACATATACTGCCATGGGGCCTGGATTAAATCGACTGGCGGGCCGGATTAGGCCCCCCAAAATGGACTTTGGACATGCCCAGCATAAGGCTGTCAGTTATAATGGTTATGCAACTGTCTGCAGAGGCAGCATGTTGCTGTATACCAGTTGCTATTGCATTAATATCCTGATTTTGGGCTTCTCATAGGGGCCACGGTTGGAAACAACATGCTGGATTAAGCAGGTTTTTGATCTGCCAGGAGGGCTCTCCTTATTTAATTTGTGTTAACAAATTCTCATATACAGCAAAACCTTGACTTGTGTGCATTTATGGTAATTTGTATGTATTTAGCTTTACACGTGTGGCAAATATTTGAAAAAAATAAAAATAACAAGGGTATGGAAATGGGACAGGGTTCCAGGAAAAATTACTTTGGTAATCCCACCTGTCATTAAGCCCAATGTGTTTTGGCTATACGCAATTTTGGCTTTAGGTGGTATCCCTGGAGCATAACCCCCACTTAAGTTGTAGCCTTAGTGTACTAAAATTTGGACTGTTTTTATTCTTTCCACATTGTTTATGGATCTATCTAACATAGCCCCATTAGTCACTCTTTTTCTTATGAGAAAGTTTCTCCAAACCCTTGACCGTTTAAATTGTCCATTTGGTACCAATTTTCAGCTATATTCCAGTGCCTCTTTCTGGCTATGGTGCTGGTTTGTGAGCTACAGGCAGTGCTGGGCAGAGCTTACTTGGCTACAATACTCCATGCTCTCTTTTTTTTTAATATAATTTTTATTGAACTTTCACTTTAAACAATAAACAATAATTTCCAATATGCGCCTACCAATCTCATTCCCTACTGCTCTGCCAAGTTTGACTTCCCTCCATCCCGCCAACAAGCTTTCCCTTTTCAAATCTATATCTCACAGTTTAGTCTTATATTATAAAGTCTACATCGTAGGATTTATTTCAATCCTGCTAGTGTCTTCAAACTTCTACAGCTATTATTTATATAGTCAATAAATTTACTCCAGTCTCTTTGGAATTTTAGATCCATACTCCATACTCTTTTAACTTCCAGGCTGGACTGCTGCAAGGCACTCTACGTGTGGCTGCCCTTGATGATTGGGAAATCTGGCCCAAAATGCAGTGACTGTGTCACTGATCAGGTAGACTGTTTGGAGCACATATAATTGGGTTTTAAAACAGCTGCTCTGGTTGCCAGTTTGTTTCCAGGCCTAATTCAAGATGTTCATATTGATGTTTAAAGCTATAAACAACTTAGGCCTCAAATGTCTGAAATGCGCCATCTATTCCAACAGACCCCATCAGGTGTTAAAAACAGGAAAGAAGCTCTCTTGATAGGTTCCACCACCCTCTGAAGTGTGGTGAATGGCAATGCAGGAGAAGGCTTTCTTTGTGGTAACTCCTAAATTGTGGAACTCCTTTCGCCACAGACGTGTGCCTAGCAGTTTCATTATACAGCTTCCATTGTATGCTGGGGTCATGTGTCTTTACCTTGGCCTTTGGCAGTTGAGGAATCTTTGTGGGACCCACCTCTTCTGTTTTGTTTAATCTATACAGAGCTGCTTTTGTCTGGTTTTGCTTTACAATTGTATAAGCTGTTTAACTTGCTTTTAAAGGATATGAAATTTTACGATCAGATAACTTAATAAGTATGACTGTGTAAGCAGAACTGCAAACAATACTTTAAATATGTCTGCACAATAAATTTATTTAGCTGCAGTATGATACTTTTTCTGATATTCTTTCTAATAATTTCTGACCTAGAGTTTCTTTTTTTCGGTCTTGCAACAACCTGATGTTCATTTGTATATTCCTGTAGAGTTAGTGTCAAGAGGGTCACTTTCTCTTGTCTTTTCCCCCCTTGCAGCTCTGGTAAAATCTAGATCAGAGTTTGTGAGCATCATTCAGGTGGTCTGCGGCATGTCTGTGGAAATACAATTAAAAATCATACAGAATTTAACGCAGCACATTACAATAAAATCCTAGGCAATTTTCAAGTAGTCTGGTGGAGGGAGGGGGGGAGTTTAGGAACCACTCGTCTAGATGAAGGAACCACAGGGGGGAAAAATGCTGTTCTTCAAGGGCATCATCCATGTGGGGCTGTGGGGGCTGAGCCCCCCAATTTTAAATGAGGGGGCTGGCCCGCCTCAGTATTCAATAGCCCACACCATGAAAGGAGGCCTGATGGGGCATGTCATGCCCTCCAAATGGCCTGCTGTGGCTGTGATGGGCTATGTCGGCCCCTCCTACTGAAGCGGAGCCTGTCACAGCCGCAGGAGGGCCCGTCAGGCCTCTTTCCACAGTGTGAAGTCATGTGCGTGCCAGGCCCCCACAATGTTAGACAGAACCCTGTGCATCTGGTGTTCTTTATCACACAAATGTCACATTCCGTTTTGGGGCAAATTTGCAAGGAAGTTGTTCCCACCGAACTGGAGTAAAGTATCAATCCACCTAAAAAAACCTGGTCGATTTTTGAATTAACTCTCCTTGTCCCCCACACTGAGTACATGGGAGGTTTAGTATATGTATTTCTAATATATCCTGATCCAGACATTTGTCAGCACCTGTCTGTTTAAACTTTAAAAGCTTCTCTTTACTTTTTTTGACACCAAGTGCTCTCAGTCTGTGTCAATATAGTTCAGGTGGAGACTTCTTGGCTTCATAAATTACTTTGAGGTTTGTTTATTTTTACAGTCAAGCATTATATAAATTTTATGAAGTAAAATAAATATAATGCATTTCTTATTATTGGACAAATCTAAATTATTCCTTCTAATACGTTTACACAGGCATCCCCAAACTCAGCCCTCCAGGTGTTTAGGGACTACAACTCCCATCATCCCTAGGTAACGAGACCAGTGGTCAGGGATGATGGGAATTGTAGTCCCAAAACATCTGGAGGGCCGAGTTTGGGGATGCCTGCGTTTACACATCCATGCAAAGTTTTCAGAAACCCCCCTTATCACCTACATGGGTTATCTTTCTGCAAGCTGAGATAGTAGAGCAGGCTTCCTCAACCTCAGCCCTCCAGATGTTTTGAGACTACACTTCCCATCACCCCTGACCACTGGTCCTGCTAGCTAGGGATCATGGAAGTTGTAGGCCAAAAACAACAACTACCAGACTTTTAGAAGCCATCTGAAGGCAGCCCTGTTTAGGGAAGCTTTTAATGTTTGATGTATTAGAGTATTTTAATTTATTTATTTTTTGAAGCCGCCCAGAGTGGCTGAGGAAGCCCAGCCAGATGGGCGGGGTACAAATAATAAATTATTATTATTATCTTTTTGCGTAGAATTGTTTGTGGTTATCCTTCAGTAGATGCCCCCACCCACAGATGCTATGGTTTAAAACACGCTTCCTCAACCTCGGCCCTCCATATGTTTTTGGCCTACAACTCCCATGAGCCCTAGCTAGCAGGACCAGTGGTCAGGGATGATGGGAATTGTAGTCTCAAAACATCTGGAGGGCCGAGTTTGAGGAAGCCTGGTTTAAAATTAGGAAATTTAATTCATACTGTCCACTGGTTTGTATCACATGGAATCATACTGAAGAGCTTGACGCTTCCTTTTATAAGGTTGGAAAGACTTTTAACCACAAGCCTGTCGTGCTTCCACCTGTCAATGTTTCGTGAGAAATATTGCCTTGGAACTCTGCGTTATAAGAGACAGTATAAATTAGCAGTAAAAAGATGAAGCCGGCAAGATTAACTCTTAAAATATGTTACCTTCTCAAGTAATCTGAGATTCAAGTCCTCCGGCCCTCTAGAGGGAGATGAAGCATGCATGCCTTTATCTGCAGTTTTTCCTCATTTTAACATGACAGTTTGTCAGCCTGCCCTAGATGGAAATCTGTAAAGGCCTTAGGTAGGCCTTCATCTTTCTGAAGCCCTGGAGTGTCCTGTTCATTTATGTATGTTTCTTCTCCTCTGGAACCTTCAGCGCAAGCTGATTGCTTTCCATTTCTTCACTATTTCTGGTTGTATATTTGCTTACAGACTGCATGTTAGATGGTTCCTTTGTCTCCCTCTCCTGTACCGGATATTCTCTCAGAGGGATTTTCTATTAGGGATCTGTTCCTCCGGCAATGCTGCTTTGTAACACACTGCAGGCCTCAGCAGGTAAAAAGATGGTGATTATGCTCATATGTTTTCCGTTCAACTTTCAGATTATGCTTGTTCTACTCTTTAGGAAACCGTGAATTGAAATCTGCGGCCAGTTTATTTAAGAAAGATAGCGGAAATGCTTTGATGGTAGCGATATAAGATAAATTTTATATAACCACATATTGGGCAAAATTGATGTTAGTGGAAAATAATAGTAAACTCAAGTAAGCTCTCAAGTGAGATAAAAGGGGGGAGGGTATTCCTGTTCCTTTGTATTTCTTATGATCTTTAAAAACTCATCTATAAGAAACTGCATTCAAGATTAAGTTCTTTGATTTCTTTAGAAAGACCTATTAATGGAGACATTTCAAAAGTTCAGATATTCAAAAAGACACTGCTGTGGAAATATAGGAATAAGGAAATGTTATTAGCTATAGGGTTTATGGTGCCATAAGCTTTGTCAGATGTATGTATGAAGGGTAATAGGGAGGATTATATAATTTCATTGTGTGATTAACTTGTCTTTTGGAAAACGAAGGAAATCAGGTTTTTAGACATTCAGCAATGAAAAAATATATATATTACTCCTGACTTGTGTTCAAAGAGGTATATTGCTCTATAACTTAGAGCAGGATTACTAATGTTTAAAATACCGCATGGCTTATGTTGTTGTTTTTTCTCATCCTAAAAAGTGACCTTCAGTGTCAGCACTAGTGCAGATTCATATGCTAATTTATTGTGGACTCTTGACTGCACTTGGATAAAACAGAATGCCTGGCAAAACTTCTTGCTGCAGTCCTGGGCTTATTTTATACAAATGTATAATAAGGTTAATTGTGCAGTACAGATATGTGCTATATGTTTAAGTGGCAAAACTGATAAAAGTTGTGTTACATAGGTGTATAGGCTACTGGGAGAATCATTTAGCAATATATCTCTGATTTCCCCCAAATGTTTTCCACAGTAATTTTTTTATTATCAAATCAGTGAAATTTATTATTTACTTTGAAACTTAGATCAACTTTGATTTTTACATTGTGGATTATGATGAAGCAGGAAAATCAGAAAATGCCTTATACCAGATCAGACCATTGACCCATCCAGCTGGCTATTGTTTACACTGAGTAGCAATTGCTCCCCAGGGTTTCGGTAAAAGGTAACGGTACCCCTGACCATTAGGTCCAGTTGTGGCCGACTCTGGGGTTGCGGCGCTCATCTCGCTTTATTGGCCGAAGGAGCTGGCGTACAGCTTCCGGGTCATGTGGCCAGCATGACTAAGCCGCTTCTGGCGAACCACAGCAGTACACGGAAATGCCGTTTACCTTCCCTCTGGAGCGGTACCTATTTATCTACTTGCACTTTGACGTGCTTTCAAACTGCAAGGTTGGCAGGAGCAGGGACCGAGCAACGGGAGCTCATCCCGTCGCGGGAATTCGAACCGCTGACCTTCTGATCAGCAAGTCCTAGGCTCTGTGGTTTAACCCACAGCACTACCCGTGTCCCCCAGGGTTTCGGGGGGGTGCATAAATATGGGATCTTTCGTGTGCATAGCATATGCTCTACTACTGAGTTATCCCCCATAAAAGTGAGAGGGAATGCACAGAGCAAGCAGTGTAAGAACATTCCTACAGAAGAAACTGCAACTTGCAATATAGACCCCTGGTTTTGCAAATACTCATATTTTTATTTCATGAAAAAAACCTTTTGAAATCAGTTGAATTCCTAACAGTAGCACAGTAAGGCTGTTTTATAATATTAGGCATACCATTTGTAAAAATGAGTGATTCTGCAATATATTTATTAACTTCAGTTCTAGTCTGCCCATCTATGTAGATCATAGGGCAGAGTAAGAGTACAAGTAGTATATATTTTTATGTGGCCAGGAACAGTATGTAAAACCCTAAGTGTTTCCACCCACAAAGTTGTGTTCTGCAAGTTCACTGCTTTAACTAAACTGCATAGAATTCTTAATCAGTCAGACAGCAGAAGACATGTTTACAATTATGTATGGAACAGAGTAGTCTACAAATGCAAATATTTTTGCTCTTCTCTCAAAAACCCTATTCAGATGACCAATGAATAAACAGAAGGGGGGTGGAATCAGCATCCATGTCTGTGGGGTCACTGTCACCTCTTCTAATGTTCTTTATAGAGTGTCTCTGTGTTGTTCAAGTTGCACAACAACTTTGGCAAAACGAACAAACCAGTTAGACCAATGTTCATTATGTCGAATACCTTACGTAATTCGGCTTTCTGCTTATCATACACTATATTAGTAGCCTAGATTGCTTTCTATGTAGCCAGGAATAAAGGACTCTTAAACTCTTCCTTATGGAAAGCTCTGTGTTATTCAAAACAATTATACCAACTGAAGCTGTTCTTCCAAAACTTACTGTTGTGCCTATTTTATATACCTTGGAGGCAAAACATGATCAGGATGTTCCCTGCAGAACAATTTGAAATCACTGCCTGAGTTCATAAAGGCCCTGGAGCATCATAAATGGCACATTTGGCTAATCACCTTCCTCTTTCTCTGACCTAATTGCATAACTGAAGCCTATTGGCTGGAACTGTTCAGAAATGGCTTTCTTGATTTCAAACCACCACATTCTAACTGAAATTCCAACACAAACAGGGGATGGTCTCTTGATTGAGGGAACTTGATAATTGAGCTGGCTCTTGGGTCAGACGGGGGTCTTTCTGGAGAACTATCAAGATCTTTATTTCGCAGGCAAAGAAAGTAAAGTAAAAGGAGTAGGATAGAAAGTAAACAGTTGCTGGTGTGTGTGGCACTGTCTCTGAGGTGGTGGTACCTATAACTTTGTATGCCTTACTGTCTCAGCTTCAGGGATGTTTCCATAGCACAGTCGTCGGTGTCTGACAATGAAGTAGAGTCGCTAAACTATTATAACTAATTAACTGCTTATTTGGATTGGAATGGCGTTTTCAAGAGGTTAAAGACATATTAATTAAGCAGATAATGTGCTAAGAGTCCTGCCCTGCTTTGCTATCTCTTATGATGTAACAAGTAATTTAAAACCTCCTGGTAACATGATGAGTGAGACTGAGGCTGTAAAGATTGCTGAGCTGCTGGCACTAAAGTGCTGCTAATTGGTTTGAAGAGCCTCTCTTTAGCCATGACTTTTTCTTCTTGCTGAAGAGACTTAAACTGCTCAGGAAGGAGCGAAGTGAACTGAACAAAGAAAGATATGAGGTAACGTGTTTAACAGTGTTTTCCCTATTTCCCCTGACTTTTTCACCTGTGGCTGAAATATCAGAGAGATTAATGTCCTTATATATTGTAATTTGGTCAATTCTTCTATTGAGATTAGAGATATTTAATGATTGGCAGAAATGCAGGTCATACCTATCTGAGTTTACTTGGAAGTAAGTCCCACTGGTTTCAGTGGGGCTTATATAGAGAGAAGTGTGTAAAGGACTGCTGTTTATTTTTGATGTTTCTAGTATTTTCTGAGTTCATAAAGGAGTTTTCAAACACTTCACCTTATTAAAGGTACTGTAGGTAAAATGTACCCCATAGAGAGAGGTAGTAAATGACCAACTTCTGATTGGTATGAGAATTGAGCTTTAGCATGTTAGAAATAATGGGTTGTAAAGCTGTGTTTATCCATTTTGCTTCCCAGTACTGATTTGCTTTAACATCTCATTTAGGGAAGGGGGGGGTGCGAATTAGATGCAAGAGCCACTGTTTCATTTTTATAAGCATGTGGAACTTTCCTCATCCACAGAAGAGTTGAATTTTAAAATGAAAAAGGGTGTATGGGCAAGGAGGGTAGAACCCTCTCCCTGCAGACAGCTGAAATCCCATTCTGGAATTGTTGTTATCTGGGTGAAAAGAGGCAATGGGGACATTAGTTGTAGGATTGGTTCTGTCTGCCCTGCTTGCTTTTAAAGTAGTTTCATAGTTCTGGGGCTACAGACCGTAATGACTATCTGGTGGATCAGTAAGACCTATAGATGATATTGTTAAGGATGTACTCATTGGAAAGCTGGCTTGCTTTAGAATTATGTCTACAATCTACAAACCCTATGTGTTGTGCTGACATAATTCCGTGTCCAGTATCAGCACAAACAAACTGCTAGTCAGCTCTCGCAAATTCTAAGCAATCCTAGAAGCCATGGCCTGGAAAAACCACAGGCCAGTCACAGAGCCTCTGCCATGAGCTGCAATAATGTAATACCCACATTCCACTCAAAACTAAGGACAGCTCAGGGCCAACCCATTTCTATCAGCAGGAGGGGAATAGGTAGATTTTGCACAGTGTTTAGGCCATGCAGTAGTTTGGCTCATAGTTGTGCCTGTGATTGCAAGGGATAGGTTGCTTGAGTGTTTTGGAAACGTGTGTATACCTGTAGTGCGGTGCAATTGTAAAACACGCTGTAAAAAGTGTACCTTTTCTTCTCTTACATTATAGGCTTTAAGCTCTACTTCATCAATACCATAAAATCTTTGGTTTCTATACAGAGCTTGCCTATATTAGTTAACTATGTTTGAATGTACAGCTTGAATGTACAGGTTCAACAGCATAAGCTGTGTAAAGTGGGTGTCCTTGGACATTGTGCTTGCATGAATCTTGTTGCATCTGTTTGAACGAGGTCACAGCTAAAAATGTAAGACAAACCTGCTTGATTAGGCCAATGGCCTATCTAGCCCAACATCTTGGTTGACCGGATGCCTGTGGGAAGCCCCCAAGTGGGACATGAGTGAAAAGCATTCTGTGTGCCTTCAATTCCAAGAAACTGGTATTTAGGGGCATACTGCCTCTGACATTGGAAGCAGTACATGGCCATCATGGCTAGTAGCCATCATAGCCTTGTCTATGACTGTATCCATGCCATGCATAATTTTATAAACCTTTATCATGTTTCCTCTCACTCACTTTTGCTTTAAATGAAAAAGACCCAAATGCTGCAATCTTTCCTCATGGTAGAGTTGTTTCATCCCTTTGATCATTTTGATTGCCCTTTACTGAACCTTTTCCAACTCTCTACTTAAGTCTTACAGTTCATGGTAAGACTTAAAGGAGAAACTTGTGCAAGCGTGGACGTGCAGATTAGCCTATAGGACAGCCCTTATGGAAGGTTACATGTTGACCCAACTGGTCTGCCTTTTCTTTCCCCTGCTGTTTTTTTCTTTTGGAGCAGGGAAGAGGATTGCCAGTACCAGGCAAGTTCATCTTCCATTTATGGTTTTTAATAAATAGATTTAATTCTGAATGCTTAAAAAAAAGTGAATTACAAGTATTTATACCACACCCCTTAAGCCTAAAATGGTTTCCAGGGTGTCTTACAATGTAAAAACCAACAGCTGAAAACATAGGTGGGTCACTTTTTCTTGAGAGCTGCATTCCTGGCCATAATCTATGGCCCCAACCAATAATATATTAGTGGGGCCATAGATGGCCAGGGACAAGCTGGAAGGTAAATAATGTTTTTATGGGGTTTGACTGCTGGCCCTGTCTCCACTGTAATAGTTTTGTGCTGTTTCTATGAAATCATGATTATCATAAGTGGAAGAAATCATATTCCAAAGACAGTGGCAGATAGGGCCACCTCATATTTTTCTTTCTTTCTCTCGATCCTTCCCTTCCCAACATAAATTATGTTCCTGCACAGCATGTAGGCTTAGAAAACCCTTCCCACTTGCTGCAACTCCCCCCCAAATTTCCTGCTGGATAGCATGCATAGTGGGAGTGGGGGTGGGGGTAAAAGGTCACATTGGCACCACTGAGAGCATCTTCTGCCCCCCCACCCCCGGCAATCCTACTTGGTGGGAAAGCAAGACTGAGATTTCTAGATTTTTTTGTAGTGTAGGGACAGTTTCTATAACTCTGCAAGGTCTCAGCCAAAGCAACATGCTGAACTAAATCTCTGTTATTCTTTTATTTGGCTTCTTATGTTTTAACTGTTTGTTGAGCCCTACCCTGCAGAGCTAAAGCAGAAGCTTAGTTTATTTGATAGGCTGTTAGAATGGTTAAAGTTTAACTATATGGTGTTTACACAGTTTTGTTTTGGTTTCCACAGCCATTATGCATTCTATCTTGTACTAGTATGAGCTTGTATCTATACATAGCTAAGTTTTGCTCTAGGTGTGTTTTGTCTAATATAAGTGGTTTTGGACCAAGCCTGCCCTATGGGTCTCCTCCCAAATGCATACCACAATCCCAATACATAGCAGTCATGAAATACATCTCCTTCATCCCATGCAAATCATGAAAGAAAAGCTTCTGTTTTCATTCTGAGAGTACATTTTCTGCATTTTTGAAATAACATTACAGTATGGCTCCACTGGGTCTTTTTTGCTGTACCTTAAACATACACTGTTTTTGCAGTTTTTGTTTAACATAATAGCCAGCCTGAGAAAGAGTCCTTCAAAGCTATTTTATAACCTTTTGGTTAAAAAAAGGTGTTATCCTGTTGCTGTTTTTTTAAAAACTTATTATTCTAGTGGATGAGCACAGCTGGAAGCATTTCATAAATAGATCAGTTCTGTCTTAAGCCTTATTTTTTTAATCTTCATCATTAAAAAATCATGAATTATTTCCCCAAAGTCATTTTCTCCAGGTGGCTTAACTTTTCTGGCACCCTGGAAGTGCGGCGTATACTTCACTGAAAGTTGTGCAGTTGGTTTTTTTTAAAAAAAATGCAATAAGATAAGCAGTAGTACTTCATACTTTTCCAAAGCATTTATATATATATTTTCGGATGCAACACTTGACAAAGATTTTTTTTTCTGATGTTGTGATGTGAAGTAAGCATTTGATCTCATATACATTTTGCTTCTGCACATTCTTCAAGCAGCACTGGCTCCTACTGTCCCTGAGATAAAGATTTCCTTGACCATTATGGTGTTTGTCCATATCACTTGCTCTCTTACCCTTCTGCTTTTATCACATATCAAACTACAAGTTCCACTTTAACTGCAAATGCACACTGCCTCATCCAGAAACTCAGAATGTTGCTTCTGCTTTAACACTTCAAAAAAATCTCCCAGAATTTGTATAATAAGTATAAATATGCAAGGAAGTAAGTTTCAAGCACACTCTCAGCAAAGGAATAGGCAGTGTGGTGCCTGTGGGTACCTTTGCACCTGCCAGTAGCTCCTATAGCTCCTTTGAGAATGTTTCAGTTCAGAAGGGACACATAGGTAATCTTGAAAGGGTTGCCCATCTTTTAGTTCCAGCACTGTCTGCAGACCATGGTGTGAGATCTGTGACGTACATTACACTAAATTTAATGAATTAATATGTTTCAAGGGAAGTGCATGACTCTTCCTATTGATTTTAATTGATGTGATAATAAGGGAGTGGCTGCTTACTTACACTGTAATCACACATAATATCTTCTACCCAGTGGAGTTCTTCTGAATGAGAGGAAGCACTATTACAGAAGGCGTTATGGCCAATTAAATGATAATAAGGGAGTGGCTGCTTACTTACACTGTAATCACACATAATATCTTCTACCCAGTGGAGTTCTTCTGAATGAGAGGAAGCACTATTACAGAAGGCGTTATGGCCAATTAAAATGATAGAGGCTTTCTGGGAAATATGTAACAATTGGGTGCTTGCATAAAATGTTGGGTTTGTTACTATTGAGGACTTTCTTGGAAGTTGCGCCCTCCCTGTGGAACGCCTTCCCGTTACATGTAAAGGAAATAACTATGTTTTTAATTACTGGAATTTTTAATTATTGGAACATTATTGACTAATGTTTCTAATTATTGGAAGCTGGCCCAGAGTGGCTGGGGCAACCCAGTCATATGGGAGGCATGTAAATTCTTCTTCTTCTTCTTCTTCTTACCTGGGCTTTCTATAGATTTGTGCTTATGTTAATTTTAGGAATAAAAAATGAGGGTTGAAAAGTTTAATTTGTGTTTTAAATAATGAAATGTATGATTAATTGATCACAGGGGCAGTTGTAACTAGAAAATATACATATTCTGGTTTGTTTGTAATACTATACTATTTTTCATATAATTTGAATTAGGTTAAAAGACAAAATTATGACACCACTTGGAGCAAATTATGTTATTTATAGAGGCAGTAGTTGCTAATACAGTTTTTATTAACTGAGGATCATATTAATTATGTGTTAATAGAATGTGCTATATTGTGCATATAATTTTATTAATGCACTGAATTTTCATTTTAATATTTTTCTACAATTTGCCTATTCAGAGATGAGTTTTATCTTGTGGTCTGTTGAAATAGCCTCTATTGTGTTGTGCTATGAGTTCACACGGTTCTTAACTGCATCAGCGGTGGGTAGTATTTTGGTACCATACAGGTGACTGCAAACTCATGGTTCTGGGCAGTTTTCAGACTTGATACTTATGTGTTGTATTTAAGCTGATTGCATTGACTGACATTAACTATTAATACTTTCTGTGATTCTCCCATCTATTTATCTCTTGAAAGTTGCACTTAGTGTTAAATAAGATGGAGCAGGCCCTGTGAAATCATACGTGACTGATGTTGGAGTGACTTGTGCCCCATAAAATGACTTGTGAAATCTTGTGACTTTGTGGTGCAGAGTCCAGAAAAGTTCTGATGGAGAGTGAAACAAATGCTCCACCAAAATTCCAGAGGACAGGGAAGCATCCAGAAGGGATTCTACAATTTACTCTTGCTGTATGAAAGGAGCCTAGCACAGCATGTAGTTTTTCCGTGTGCTCAGAGGACAGTGAAATTGGCCATCTCCTAATTCTTGGCTGTGGAGAAGTCAATGGGAGGCCTAGTGCATCAGAAGTTCTTCAGTGACTGCACCCGGCATGCAGGGAGCCTTGGAAAAGACAAGAGGAGTCCTGGGATGTCTCCCAGGCAGCACTTGGGCTCACTTCATCTGTTGAGGTTTATTTCATGTCAAGCAAGCAGCTACATTGAGCACTGGCCATTTAGTGGTCTGAAGACCTCCAGGCATAGTGGGGAGATGTAATTCTGGAATGGGCCAAAAAGCGTCAAGTCTTGGGTCCTCTCTGGAAATGCATCTAACCCAATTGGGTAACTAGACCTTTGCCCCATCTCTTGTTCAGGGTGCATTGTTTACATGATATAATAATGAACAATGTGATGTTGGAGTTTAAAATATCAGATAGTTCACATTGTTACTGGGCAGTGTTTATTTTTTATGTTCTGAATAACATATGTTGAAGTAATTCTTTTTGTTTGTCATTTCAGCTATGAAGTCTTACATTCCATTTTTCATTCTTCTTTGGAGCGCTGTCGGAATCTCAAGGGCTGCCAAAATCGTTATTGTGCCGCCAATTATGTTTGAAAGCCATCTGTATATTTTCAAGACCCTGGCCTCAGCCTTGCACGAGCAAGGCCACCAAACAGTTTTCCTTCTGTCTGAGGGCAGAGACATCCCTCCATCTAATCACTATAGACTGCAGCGTTACCCAGGAATCTTTAATACCAGCACCTCAGATGAGTTTCTTCAATCCAAAATGAGGAGTATATTTTCTGGGAGACTAACAGCCCTGGAACTGTTTGACATTCTGGAACACTATTCCAAGAATTGTGACATGATTGTAGGCAACAAGAAGCTCCTGCATGCCCTGAAACAGGAAAAATTTGACCTCCTGCTAGTGGATCCTAATGAAATGTGTGGATTTGTTATTGCTCATCTTTTAGGGATTAAATACGCGGTTTTTTCCACTGGACTTTGGTATCCAGCAGAAGTAGGTGCTCCATCACCTTTAGCATATGTTCCAGAATTTAATTCACTTCTCACAGATCATATGAACTTGCTAGAGAGGCTTAAGAACACTGTTGTATACCTGGTTTCAAGATTTGGAGTCAACTTTTTGGTTCTGCCAAAATACGAAAGGATAATGCAGAAGTACAATGTACAGCCAGCAAGGTCCATGTATGACTTGGTTCATGATTCTAGCCTGTGGATGCTGTGTACTGATGTAGCACTAGAGTTTCCAAGACCCACCCTTCCAAATGTTGTGTATGTGGGAGGAATCCTTACCAGACCAGCCAATCCTCTACCAGAAGTAAGGTTTGCAAAGTTTTTTTTGTTTTTGTTTTTTACCTTTATGTATGATGATTTCGTATAATTACTGTTTTATACTCTGTTTTTAAGCTTACTAATATTTTTCTGTGGCTTCTCAAGATCACAGAACGGGCGTATTTTGTAATAAGGTTTCATATGCTCACTTATTTCTAGGACTAGTGCACAGATTGCTAGACTTTTTCAGCCTGAGGGCTGCATTCAAGGTTAGCCAACCCTTTTAAGGGCTGCATAGGGGGCACATACAAATAGCACACATACAGCACATGCACTCACACAAATTTACTGGCACACAGTGTTCCATTTTTACGTTCTGAGCATGATTTAAATTCACTGACTTGAAAGTATTTGCATTGCCTTTCTAGAATCAGGTCTGTGAAACCGATTCTAGATGAAAGCCAACAGCTTTAAATTAAGAAAAAGCTAAGCAACCATTTTAATTATCTGGTAGAGGCAAGTAGTGGTTGCTTAAGTCAATATTGCAGAGGGCCTTTTCAGTAGTGGTGCCCACCCTGTGGAACGCCCTCCCACCAGATGTCAAAGAGATAAACAACTTCCTGACATTTAGAAGACATCTGAAGGCAGCCCTGTTCAGGGAAGTTTTAAATGTGTGACATTTTGATGTATTTTTAATCCTTGTTGGAAGCCGCCCAGAGTGGCTGGGGAAGCCAGATGGGTGGGGTACAAATAATAACTTCTTCTTATTATTATTATACAGATGACTAGTTCCCTTCATCTTCAGACTTCTACTTCTGATGTAGATTAAATACTTCTGACTCTACGAAGTTGCTAATTCTTTTTGGTACTTATTTTTAATTAAGGAATTATGTCAGTTTAATCTCCTAAGTGAGAAACTAGCCAACATCCAGGTATACAGCAGAAATGTGCAATCTTGTCTCTGAGGCTGCAGATGGCAGAGCCTGGTGGATTGGGGACTGCATAGATAGAAATGCATGCACACAGGCAGGCAGAGTGCACAAAATGCCTATTTCCGTTCTGATTAGCAGCAAAGGAACGGATATTTTCTCCGCTGCCCAGCTGATGGCTCATTGGCTGGGTAGTGGGGAAAGATGGGCATGGATCCCCAAGGCTTTGTGGAGCATACAGAGAGCAGCAGCAGCAGGGTTTGGATAGCCTACATATGGTAGACAGTGAGTCTATGAAAGAGTAGTGATTTAAATGCCACAGTCCACAGTTACTTTAGCTGTACACAAGGGTTTGCATGCTCCCAAATGGACTTGAGGTTTTTGAACTAAAGAATTCAACATCTTAAATTCCCAAAAGGGTTTGAGAACTAATTCGAGTTGGTTCAGGCTTGCAAAAACATTTTCAAGGGGCTATCCTGTCCTGTTCTGTTCTTTGTACACACTCTTCTTCTCTCTCCACTCTGAATGATTCTTCATTGTTCCCCCCACCCCACCCGCCAATATGCCTGTCCTCTTTATCATGTGTACTTTATTCCTTTCTCCATCCCATCTGAATGGCAGCTGCTGGTCTTCTGCCCTCTGATTCTTCAGGTATTATTAGTGGTGGTTTCCCACTGCGTATTTTGTTCCAATTTTATCTTGGGGAAGTTTTGTTATTTGGTAATACTGCTCTTTAGGGAGAGTTTTGGGTTTTGTGACTGTGTAATGCATTGTACACGTTATCCCTTGAGAGTCCTGATTTAAACATTTAGTGCTAGTATAATCTGTGGAACCCAGAGTAAATAGGAATACTCTTGTAGATAATTCTCACAATTCTCATTATTTATTTATTTTTTATTTCATAAAATTTATACCCTCTTTAATTGTAGAAAAAACCTCAAAGCAGGTTATGAAAATAAAAGAATAAAATTATCACCAAAAAATTTACACCCATAATTTGAAATATGCGGAAAGTTAAAACCACAGCAGATTAGACTAAAACAAATGAACAAATTTGTTACTAACAAATTCATACTAACTTTCTAAGCATCTGGGTAGGCTTGTCTAAATAAGAATGTTTCCAGCAGGCACCAAAATAGAATGTTAAAATTATGATTAGGAAAAGTAGAAAAGAGGCATAAAGAATGAAGGAAAATGCAGCCACCCAAATTTTAGCTAAAAGACTATAATCCTATCTCTACGTATATGGAAGTAAGCCTCATTGAACTTGGTCATAGAAAGAGTATCAGTGTGTTCAGCATTATTCTCAGCATCAACTCACTCATTTTTAATAGGATATTTTGGTATGAAACATTTTAGCTGAATAATCTTTATGCATATGCATAAAAAGCTATTTTTGTTCAGTTTAAGTAATATGGAGAGTTGCTCAGATTTGTTCTGTACGTGATGGTTGTTCTGTTCGTCTTACCTTCTGAATTAAGTACAGTGATCAATTTTCAGTGGGGTTTTTTCCTTAAAAAATTGCATGTTATGAATGCAAGCCTAATGAAATCACACACACATACATTTGTGCTGTAACTTTATGTGCATTTGCACTCGTGTGAATTGGTGACCTGTATGAGGGAAAATAGTTTAAACTGAAAACTGACAAATCTCCGCCCTTTCTCAAAGTCTGGAAGTCATGAACTGAGGATTGAAGCATTGCTTGCCGGTAGTGCATATGAGTTTGTATGCACCTGTGGACGAAGTCCAGCTCAGGCATGAGAGAGACTCTCTTGCTTCCTTCTTCATTCTCTTTGTATGAAAGAAGAGTCATTTTAAGACAGTACTAGCAGCTGTCTCCCAGAAAAAGTTTTCAGGAAGGAACAGAAAGTACCACTTCTTTCCTCTCAAGAAAACATGGTAAGAAAGGAGAAAGTGCTTCCCCTCTCCCCCTGTTTGTGCATTTATAGGACGTTGCAGTAGTGACACACTACTTGTATGTTCTGCAAAATAGCAAATATCTCTCCATTCCCTGAGACCTTTGCAAATGCAGAGGACTTGGACTTTAGAGAAGGTGTCAGTAGTGACCACAATAATGAGTTTTGATAGGAAGCAAAGTGAAAATTTGTGGTATTCTGTGGATTAACTGAGCACTATCACTTTGCAAAGAAGATTAAATTATTTTGTAACCTTTCATAATGCTTTCAGCTTGGTAAAAACTGCCTTGCGAAACATTTTTGCATAAATAAAGGCGTGAGTTTTATGCAGCTAAATCTATTCAGATGCTTATTTATGTTGTTTATCACTGCAATTAAACTTGTAAAACTGTTTGGAAGATGCCTGTTCTGAGTTTCTTCTACAGAATTATACTTAAATAACATAGTTACACAGGTAGGTAGCCATGTTGGTCTGCCGTAGTCGAAACAAACAAACAAAAAAATTCCTTCCAGCAGCACCTTAAGAAATGTGCTTAAGAAATGTGCTTAAGAAATGTGAAATGTTTCTTGTTAGATAGTCAGTTTTTCTTTTTCTCAAAAATCCTGGTGATTAGGTTATCTGGTAGAATTTCATAGATGGAAGTTCATAGATGGAAAGCATTTACAGGGATAATGAGAACTGTCTTTTACTGAGCCAGGCTCAGTTTTCTCTTGGTCAGTATTGTGTACCCTGACTGGAAATGGCTTTTCCAAATGGGGCCTTTCCTACTTGGAGATGCTGTGGATTGAACCTGAGATCTTTTGCAAGGAAAGCATGTGTGCTCTGCCACTGATCTACAGCCATTCTGCCTACCCCATTGCAGCTCAGGGAGAATAAGTTGTAATGTTGAGTAATGAAATGTAATTTTAATTGTTATTGTTGTATCATGAACAATAATTTAAGAACCTGTAGTTCATTCCTCCCTGACTTTAAACTAATCTCCTTCATTTCTAAGGGGAGGAGCTCTTACTATTGTATCACTGCTTTGAATGAAATGCATATTTCATATTGGTAGTGATGCTTCTTTTGAGCTAAGAACTGCCAGTTTTAGGTAGAGAATGCGACAGAATGCTCCCCCAAATAAGAAGCTATTTGCATGTAGAAAAATGAATGTTGGGGATTCAAGTAGGGATTTCTGTTACCAGTGAACAATACAATTCTGAGTAGTTTTGGAATTAGTTTTACCGCATGAAGAGCCACTGATCTGTATTTGGCTCAATTCATGCAAATTTAAAGCGATGATATGAAATTTGGAAATATTGCCCAAACTATTGTGAATTGGTTTTCAGGTGTTTGTGAATTAATCCTTGATCTAATTTCACTAGCTGCTGGTGTTTAGAATTTGGGCAGTCAGGTTTCTTTTTCCGCTGATGGTTATACTTGTAACAGCTATACAGTGGTCCCTCGGGTTAAGAACTTAATTCGTTCCGGAGGTCCATTCTTAACCTGAAACTGTTCTTAACCTGAAGCACCACTTTAGCTAATGGGGCCTCCCGCTGCCGCTGTGCTGCCGCCGCACAATTTCTGTTCTCATCCTGAAGCAAAGTTCTTAACCCGAGGTACTATTTCTGGGTTAGCGGAGTCTGTAACCTGAAGCATCTGTAACCTGAAGCGTCTAACCCAAGGTACCACTGTAGTAGATTTGGGACACACTGTGCAGAGGTTAGCAGGGAGGAGGCTGTGCTGTCCTACACCTCTCTCCTTGCTTTCTCCAGCAATGGTGGTCTCACAGTTAGAGGCTGACCCAGAAATGGGGCACTCTCGCCATTTGGCAAGTGAAGGGAGCAAGGAAGGCGGGGGGTTAGCTCACTTCTCCTTTGACAGCACTGCAAATTGGAGCGGCACTCACTGTTGCTTCTGGCAGGCACAGTATGTGCACGAGAGCTCTAAATATGAGTAGAGGACATCAGTAATTGGAAGACATTGAAGCAGCCATTTTCAGATAAATTCTGTATCTCAATTCAGAGTTGCATTTTCGTGCATTGCTTCCATTGTCAACTATAACTAGCAATGTGGAAAGTCACTCATACACACTTTTTAAAAAGAAGTACTTTCTCTCTCCCCCCCACCCCCCAAAGTTAAGTCTAGATTGCATTTTTGACAGTGTCAGACCTAGTTCAAGGAGGTGTTTCTTAAAATTGGTTATACTCCATATTGATGCTAGGGCTAGGGCTGAAGGAGGCTAGATATTTGGATTAAAGCAAAATGTGGGGAAACTTTTCATAGAGGTGCTGATAAAGTTCTCCAGGCTTGGACGCCTAACACAGGATTTTACAAGCTCTCTGAGGCTCATCTTAAAAGGGAGGTGAGCTTTATGAACTCCAAAATTATTTTCTATGAGATTAAGAGATTCCTAGTTTACTCACCCAGTGATTTCCCAAACCCATTCCCATCTTTCTATTTAAATTACATTTAATGGGGTGGCTAGAAAGGAGCACCAGTGATGATTAGCCGGAATGTAATGAATGATATTTTGTATTAAGGAGAGAGGTAAGGGACTCCCCCCACCCCCATTTTTTCTGGTGTACTGCTAGCATGCTGTTGAAGCCACTGTGCCCTTCCATCCTATCACTTGAGCAGTTTGCCAGAGGGAATGGAAGAAGTGATCTGATTCCCCTTTTTACCTTTAGTTTATCTCTGACATGCTTCTTGACAAGAGTAACTTTAAAAGGAAAGGGTTGCGGGGCTGCTGATTTATTAATTTATTGTAAAAAAAACCCCTCAAAGTGGTTTTCAAAAAGACAAAACAATAAAATGCAGAATAGTTGAATGATTTCCAAAGTTAGATTGCCTTGAAAAATTAGCTTCTTATTGGTGCGGTATTAAGAACTGTGAGGTTGTCACTTCAGACAGTGCCAAGATTATTATTTTTATATTTTCTGTTTCTGTTTCTTATATGCTTTCCTGATCATGGGTTTTCTATTTGGAAATGGACGCGCACATGTTTCTAAGATTTGTAATGTAAGAAGAAGTAGACTATTTGTTAGACCCTAATTTTGAGAGCACATCCTTCTTAGATAAAAGTTGTAGCAGCAACATGTACCATCATGTTGAGGTGCTTTGAAACTCCATTGCTCATACAAATGTTACAGACATTGGATAGACTTAGTATATATTCTCAGACTGATTTAAGAATTATTTTTATAGATTTATGTGAAACATTGCATCTAAAAATTATTATTTTTAAGCAAATGCATTCTCCTAGAATATCCTCCACTGATTTTCCAGAAAGCATTTATGATGGGGTAAAAGCTTTTTAAATGTAGCCTTTTATATAGTATTTGTAACAAAACTTCAATAAACTTAATTTTACCTACTAATAAGGTAGCTCATCTTTCAGTTTTTTTCTAAATAATTATTTTATAAATTATGTATTCATGGCTTGTACAGTAACATCATCAAGATATATTTTTGTGAATTGATGATTGCTCACAAAAGTCTTGGGCAAATAGGCGCTGATGCTTCTGCATATTTGATTCCAACAGCTGAACAGGGAGAGAGCTGCAGACACTGAAACCAAGTTATGTTTGTATTTATGTGTTTTGTTTATCTGAAACAAAGCTCAGTATTAGGCACCACTGGTTACTGCCAGCTGGGACCTCACACTATAGTCACAGCTGTGCAGAATAGCTAGCTAGAAAAACCAAAGAGAACAAAGATCACACAGTACTGTAAATACAATACCATATCTGTCTGATATCTTGTCTTTTTTATATAAATACTAAAAGCAAAACTGCAGGGAGCACTTTAGTAGTGCTAATTCACACGCTTGAAACCCTCTCCTAAAGTGTATGACCTTCCATAAGAATATGAATTCATGTGATTTGACATAATGTTTTGTCCTTGCAACAGTTTCCTAAATGGAACCTGATTTTTTGGAAATGTAGCTGAAGTTTAGGTTTAAAATATAGCTAATACTCATTTCCAGATTAGAACCTGCTCTGAAGAAAGATCTGTGTATGCAGAATGGTACTAACTTAATAGCCCATGTTTCTGTTTCGTTAGTGAAATGTTATCAGTGTTAGGAGGCATGTCCACTAATCAACTTAACTCAGTTCCATTGCTGATAGGGATAAAATATAGTTTGATATGATTCTTACCTTAGAACAATATTCTGGATTTTAATTCAAATGACTTTGATGGAACTTTTGACCAGGGCAACATCCACATTTCCCTTCTTTCCCTTCTTTGTGGTACCCTTTCAAATCCATTTCAGATTTATGAGACCAGTTCTGATGGGCACGATTGAAACAAAAATGTCAGGTAGGTAATATAGATGTAAAAGTGCCAATAACTAGGCCTTTGGTTGGTCTGTTTGACATCCTATATCCTTTTAAAATGCGGCTCTTTTTGGGGTGTGTGTGTGTGTGTTATTGGGTTGTTGTTTTTATTCTGATTATATATGTTGTGATCTTTTCTGTGAACTGCCCTGAGACCTCCGGGTATAGGGTGTTATATAAACTCAATAAATTGGTAATAATAATACTAATAATAATAAGGCATGAAAAGGAATATAAGTTGCCTTCATACTGCCCTGGGCTTTCTGAAGTGAAGACTAAAATAAAGATCAAAGGCCTGCAGCCAAAGATTTGACTGAGAAGTTCCATCAGTATATGAAATTGAGTCCCCATTAGGAGCAGTCACTTCTTAGGATTCCCTGGGCCCAGCCACCAACCTACAAAATTTCCCTCACAGGGAGGTGGGGTTTGGGATGGGTTGATTGGGTGGAGGAACTTGTAAGGCCACAGTTCACCTCCAGTCTTCACAGGAGCAAGTTGCCCACTTGAAGCTTTCCGTGGTGCTGTCCTGCTATAGGCATTCGGAATATCTAGCCTTGTACTACTGTTAGAGGAAGATGAGCACGTGCCAGTCAGTTCTGCCTTCTAGCTGTCATCATACATATTCCGTTGGTTACAAGGTTTCACTTACATAAATACAATACATTTTAGATGGACCTCACCTGTGATTTTACAATTGGAGTTTTTTATATAGTGCTTCTGCTGTGTAAGGTGCTTTGCAGAGTGCAGGAGGGCAGTTCCTGCCCTATAATTTGACACAGGAGAGTGGTAAGGAGTGGCAAGTTGGTGGAAAAGGAGAAGCAAATGTCATTTGAAGACATGTACAGGGAAATCAGAATGAGGAGAGGAGGATGTAAGGCTGTGGAGGACTTTCAGCATAAGAACAAGAAATTTGTGCTGGATTCAGGAGTGGGCAGGAAGTCAGTATAGAGATTTGAAAAGGGGCAGAACAGGCATCATGGCTAGTATCCATGAAAGAGGTGAATGGTTTTGTCTGTAAAGTGCTGGGGGGGGGGGGACGGAGAAGCCTCCAATAAGTCAACGGAAGATCATAAAAGCAAATATTGTAGAATTTAGTTCAAGAGCTGACTGTAATATGAACTGGAGTTTTCACCAAGGGAATAGAGAGGAAGGGCCAAATTTTTGCCATGCTGTAAACACAGAAGCATTGTGACTTCACAGCAAAATATAGGGGAGAAAAGAGACAGATAAAAGGTTTGTGTCTATACAGCAGGGTGACAGGAGACATTGTCGACTAATAAGTAGAAAGTACAATGAGAGAAGGGCATGGGTGGAAAAACCAGAAATTCAGAGTTGGCTATGCTAAGACATTAAAGCATTCAAGGAGAAATATCAGGTGGGGATACAGGAGTGGATGAAGGCGTAAAAGTATCAGGTAGAGAGATGTGAAACTGGATATTGTCATTGTAATGGGATGGGATTTGATAAGGTCTCACAGAGACTGTGTGAAGAGAGAAAGGCCAAGAATATATGGCTCTCCAGTGGAGAGAGGAAGCACTTCCACTGTGGAAATACTGAAGGAATAAGGTTGGAGTGGAATCAGCTTAGGATAAAGTCATGGCTAAAGAAATCAAGTGTATGGAAGGCAGCAGTGAATTGAAGATGGATGAGACAGAGGCATTCTGATGTGTAAGTGATTTTAATGAGGGTGATTTCAGTGACCTGCAGAGGGTGGAAGCCAGACTGGAGACAGTCAAGATCCAAGTAGTCTGAAGAAGAAGTTAATGCAACATGCTCTAGTAATTGAAGGATAGGCCAAACAACAGTTTCTTGAGGAAAGGGGAGAGAGTACTGTTTTTGAATACTGCAGGAAACAATCAAGAAGGGGTTGATAATATGACAAAGAGGAAGAATAGCAGTGCTGCGGGGGGGGGTGTATACAATTTGGAGTTGGTAGGAAAATAATAAAAGGTGCACATGGAAGGGTTAGATGAGTCAATTCAAGGGAGATGGGGATGTTGCAGGAGGTGTAGGAATATGGAAACCTCAAAGATTTCTATCCTTAAATTAGAAAATATGTTGACTTCACTAAGGGCTTGTGAAAATTCTAGGACCAAAAAACCCCCAATCTGCCTCAGATGAAGTGTCAGTCAGTAAGTGAAAAACATTCTGTAACTTTCAGATATTTGGGTTCTTTTAGCATTATTTTATTCTTGGTTATTGATTTACCTCAAAAGGTCTTTCCTTGTGTGATGCGCTAATCTTTGCTACTGAATAAAGTAAATAAAGTTTACGTTATGCAAGCATATAATTAATCACTTATTCTACTGGCATTACCCCAAAGTTTCAAGTATGTACAGTGGTGCCTCGCAAGACGAAATTAATCCGTTCCGCGAGAGTCTTCGTCTAGCGGTTTTTTCGTCTTGCGAAGCAAGCCCATTGACGGATTAGCGCTATTAGCGCTATTAGCGGTTTAGCGGCTATTAAAGGCTTAGGGGATTAGCTGCTAAAAGGCTATTAAAGGCTATTAAAAGCTTAGCAGATTAGATAAAGGGGGGGGAAAGCGAAAAAAAAATCTCAAGACTCGCAAGGTATTTTCGTCTTGCGAAGCAAGCCCATAGGGGAATTCGTCCTGCGAAGCAACTTCAAAACGGAAAACCCTTTCGTCTAGCGGTTTTTCCGTCTTGCGAGGCATTCGTCTTGCGGGGCACCACTGTACAGTATTGTTGCATCAGATCTCCTATGAGTGATTTGGCTGACCTTGTGCTGGAATATGAGAGGCAAAGTTCACGTCTTGGGGTTTTCCAATTACATGTAAAAATGTGTGGGCCTTGTATTATTCTAGTGATTGTAATATTCTGGATTATATTTGTACTATTTTAAAAAACTCTGCTCAGAGTGCTGAAAATTTAAAAGTCTTCAGGAACAATCTATGTAAATTTGTATTACCTCCAAAGTTCAGGCTGTAGATGAAAAGCTAAGAAAGAGTCGCTTGCCTAGTGCTTCCAGTTAACTTAATGGCTAAGGCCTTCTGGGTCATAGCTCATGTATTTCACTGTCCTGCCACATCCGTCCACAAGATGGCCCACACTGCAAGACTTAGAGGTTGCAATCATACATATGGCCAAGAGTAGCAGTCCCTGCTATGACTGCATCTCCCTCAAGACTTCTTCAGCCAGGCACAGGGGTGCCAATTTGAATAAAATATTAGAGGGGCACATGTAAGCCCTGCCCCACATAATAGATCATCATGGTACGATGCACGCACACAATTTGAATGGCAATGCCCATAAACTTGGGTGGGGCTCCTCCCTCAAATATTTTATGGGGGGGCTGAAGACCCCTCCTATAGGAGTTGGCTCCTATGGCCAAGCATGTGTCTCTTGGCCCCCATCTTTGCAAACTGCCAACCTGCCTGCTTTCCCTGTAAAAAAGTGCTGCTTCCTCTTTCAGCTGGAGAAAAAGTGGAGAGGAAAAGGGGTTGATCCTGAATTGCTTGGCGATTGAGTCACCATTTGACCACAGCCACACAGCTGAGACATTCTTGGCTCAATTTACACTCTCCTTATGAAACAGGTCATTTTTTTTTTTACAGTTACAGACAATAAACTGTGATTCAGCAGTTGAATCCATTCCTGAAAGTCATAGTGGTATTTTCATGTTAGAAGTGACTTTCAGAACTGTAAGACTCATTTGATTATTAAAAGATAGATTAAGACATAGGGCTTTTGCATTAAGTGCATTAGGCACAATCTATACATTACCCTGCATACCAAGATAGTGTATGAATCCTTGGTGCAACTGATCAGCCCCGGGAGGATGCTCAGATGTCCGGTGTATATGCCAGTTTGTGGTTCCATTTCCACCTTAGTCATGAGATGCCTCGAGCTATGGGCAGCAATAGGAGAGCCTCAAAAAAAGTCTAGTATGCTCATGGTTTTGATTGTGCAGGATCCTCCTGACTTATGGGATGAGGAGGAAGGACTTAACTAGTGACATGCTCAGGCTACTTGATTAAAAAAAAGGTAAAGGTATCCCTGCCCGTACGGGCCAGTCTTGCCAGACTCTAGGGTTGTGCGCTCATCGCACTCTATAGGCCGGGAGCCAGCGCTGTCCGCAGACACTTCCGGGTCACGTGGCCAGCGTGACAAGCTGCATCTGGCGAGCCAGCGCAGCACACGGAACGCCGTTTACCTTCCCGCTGGTAAGCGGTCCCTATTTATCTACTTGCACCCGGGGGTGCTTTCGAACTGCTAGATTGGCAGGCGCTGGGACCGAACGACGGGAGCGCACCCCGCCGCGGGGATTCGAACCGCCGACCATGCGATCGGCAAGTCCTAGGCGCTGAGGATTTACCCACAGCGCCACCCGCGTCCCTACTTGATTACTTCCTCCTTTTATCCCATCCTTGACTCCCTAAATATCGCATACCCCGTAGGGGGTGATGGAAATCTATTTCCCTTTGAGTATCTAGTAATTCCATGGGCTGGGTTTCAATTCTGCACTTGTTGCATTTGTGCTTTCTGGATTGTACTCACAGTTGTTGTTTTTAATTAATGAAATAATGAATCTTCAACATTTATCATATGGATTTGTTTTGACACTGTTTGATGATAAGGGAGCATTTCCCTTTGTGGCATAGTGTTTGCTAGCCATGACAGCAAGCTCTTTATTTTCTCAGGATCTCCAAACATGGGTGGATGGTGCTAATGAAAAAGGCTTTGTCCTTGTTTCATTTGGAGCAGGAGTCAAATACTTGTCAGAAGATATAGCACATAAATTGGCCCATGCTCTGGCAAGACTTCCTCAACGAGTCATTTGGAGGTATGTATAATAGCACAATAGCTTTGTCAATAGGTTTAAAACATTTATGGATATCCAGGACCAAGTCCAGGCTACATAAACACCATGCATTTAAAGCATATTGAAAGCACATTTCTCGTTCAAACAATCCTGGGAATTGTAATTTGTTTAGGGTTATAGGATTTGTGGTTCTGTGAAGGGTAAATTGCACCTGCCTGCATTTTTTTTGTGGGGTGGGGATGTGCTTTGAATGGATGGTGTTTATCATCCCAAGTCTTGTCTAGGAGAGTGCAACACAGGCAGCAAAAAATACAAAGGAGTGGCACCATCTATGCCAGGCGCATTCACCCACCTTTCTGTACTACCTGCCCATAGAACTTTTAAGTTGCAGTTCACAACAGGTGGGAAAGAAATGTAGGCTAAGAAAATAAGGTCCAAATCAAGGGGGGGTGTCTAAAAATGTATTGCAAATATTACATAGTTGTTTAATTTGGATTTTAACAGTCTTATTTATCATCAGTGTGTTACATTGCATGAGCTTTCTTTAACTGAAAACTGACCTGATGTATTTGGCTTTTAGCCTATTTGTGAAACTTTTAAAATCCATCCCCAGTGTACCTCATTTGATGCACCTGATTTTCTGCCCTTGTCCTAACCCAGGGGCAGAGAACTCCACCCTCCCACGGGCCATGTTAAACAAGTGGCCTGCCCCAGTCCTGCCAATCAGATGTTTGTGGTGCTTGCAGTCAGCCACTTTGAAATCCTGACAATGAGCTGATGCTTCAAAGCGCCATGCACAGCTATCTGCAAAACACCAGCCAGTGGATCTCCAGGGCTTCCAAAGAGCCACAAGGTCTTTGTGGGCACCATCAACCAGCTGATTGGCAGTGCCTGCAACTCCGAGTTTTTGGTCCAGCCACAACTTCAGCTGCCGCACACTTCATGTATTTATTGTATTTATTTCATAAGATTTATGTACCACTCAAAGCGGTTTACAAAAAAGATAAAAAAGTAAAATTATCACTAGAAAATTTACAAAATTACAGAAATTTAAAAACCACAATGGAAGAGAGTAAAACAAATTAAAACTCATACAAACTTTCTAAAAATCTGTGTAGGCTTGTCTAGTTAAGAATATCTTCAGGCACCAAAAAGAATACAGTGAAGGCACCTGCCTAATACCAGTAGGCAGGAAGTTCCAAAGTTTTGGTGCTGCCACACTAAATGATTGACTTCTTACAGGTGCGGTGCAAATATTATGTGGCAACTATAAAATGCCTGTTCCTCCAATTGAAGCAGTTGATTGGGTGCATATGGGGAAAGGGGATCTCATGGGTAAACTGGTGTCAAGTTGTTAAGGGCATTGTATACTAATGGTAACACCGTGAACTCAGCCTTTGAAGTACATCGGTAAGCAGTGCAGACCTCTGAGCACAGGTGTTAACATTCTGAGAAGGCTGCAACATGTATGATGCCAGGTATAGGACAGGTGTGTTTCACTTGGCCAAAACAGCCTCTTGGGTAGCCCTGGCAGGTGTATTTTGGTCGGAGGTCCAGAAATTGCCTACCCTTGTCCTAACACATAAGCTATGTGTTTCTATTTTTAATGAATTGCATACTGGATTTTAAATCCTTTGATTTGCAAGTCATTTGCACAGTAGAAAAGGAACTAGCAAATTGTTCTATAGATCTTCCTTAGAATGCATTTTGAAACTGGCTTCTTCTCTCTGTGTTAGGTATTCAGGGAAGAAACCTAGGAACTTGGGTAACAATACAAAACTCATAGAATGGTTACCGCAGAATGACTTACTGGGTAAGTAGAATTGGAAGTGATGTTTAGTTCTCTCTGCTCTTAAACACTAAAATCCCATTTTATCTTATTTGTATAATACATTGGATTTCTAGATTTGGTATTATTAAAAACCAGGGTTCTGATAACTCAAATAGTGTTTCGGAAAGATATGTCCACTTTTTGTATTACTTTTGGTTGTGAATATGGTTTTATTTGTTTATTATTTATCATGTCAGTATACCACCTTTTCCTCCAGGGAGATCAGGGTGGTATACGTGCTTCTCCGCCTCCCCAGTTTATCCTAACAATAACAGCCTTGTGAGGTAGTGACTGCCCCAGGGTCGCCCAGTGGGTTTCATGACTTGAGTGGGGATTTGAACCCTGGTCTCCCAGGTCTTAGTCCAACACACTAACCACTACACCACATTGGCTCTTTTCTTTGCACTACCAAAGTTATACTAATGTTCTTAGTGGTACATCAGCTATATTATCGCTAATAATGTAGCATTTAAGGGAGATTGCCTCTCTTGGCAGTATGTACACCTACTTAGCATCTGCTCTGACCATTGTTTGAAAAGTGAAGCCACTGATGTTTTTATTGCCCACACTTTGAAGCATGAAGACAGAATTTAGATCTCATGTGTAGTTCGAAAAGTGGCTTGGCAAGCAATAGCTTGTTTCTGTGTTCTGCAGCCATGATAACAACACTTCCACATGCACATGTCACCTGCAGTGAAAAAGCACTTTTCCAAGGGAGATGGGGAAGCCCTCCTATTCCCATTCTAAGTTTATGCAAATGCCTATTTATTAAGTACATAGATACGGTATTTATGATAAGTTAAAGCTAACATGAAACGTTTTCTTCCCTACACCTTTGCCTCTTGCCGCTTTAGGTCACTCTAAGATTAAGGCCTTCCTGAGTCATGGTGGTCTGAACAGCATTTTTGAAACCATGTACCACGGTGTACCTGTGGTGGGAATTCCTCTTTTCGGAGATCATTATGACACTATGACCCGAGTGCAGGCCAAAGGCATGGGAATATTACTAAACTGGAAGACTATTACGGAGGATGAATTATATAAAGCACTAGTGAAAGTTATTAATGATCCCAGGTAAGATTCCTTTGCTAAGCTTCCACTAATGTGGAAAAACAAGTCTATAAAGTAGTTATAGTAGCCATATGCAACTGCCCACTGAGTTTTAATGGTTGATATTTTATAGATATTTATGATTGTGTTGTATAATATCAGATGTATTTTATTTTATATTATAATGCCCTGGGCTCCTCTGAAGGAAGGGCAAAACAGAAATGTAACAATATAATAAATAGATTTCATAGATTCACCTGCAGAAAATTACATTCAGAGGTGATGAAGCAATTAATTGGGGGAATTGCATAGATGCAATATGCTGAATTAGTTCTGTTTTTCCACTTCACAGCTACAGACAAAGGGCCCAGAAGCTGTCTGAAATTCATAAAGACCAACCAGGTCATCCTGTTGATCGAACAGTCTACTGGATTAATTACATCCTTCGTCATAATGGAGCACAGCATCTACGCGCTGCTGTTTTCACAGTCTCTTTATATCAGTATTTCTTATTGGATATTGCCGTTATTGTACTGCTTGGTACTGCCTTACTCTGCTACGTTTTGGTCAGGATAGCAAAATTTATCCGCAAGCAAAGCAAACATCTTTGGTCCACTGATGAACATACTACCATTAATGGACATTACCAAAATGGGATACCAAATGGCAAGTATAGAAGAAATGGCCACATTAAACATGAAAAAAAGGTGAAATGAGCCAACTGCCCAATGTACATTAGCAGCGAATCAGTTCTATAATTGAATTTTATAGCTGTAACTTAGTCTAACACCTACTTAAAGCAAAACAATAAACAGTTCTAACGCTCCCCTACAGTATGTAATCTTATGCGATTAAATTTTGCAGAACTAAGGAAAATCTTTAGAAAAATGAAGCACAACCTAAAATGCAAAATGTATTTTATTCTTAATACTGATGCAAAAAGGTTATTCTGGCACTGAAGTTTTTTTAGAAGCCTTAATTCTCTGAAGTAATTCAATAAGTATATTTATGACTTCTCCATTTGTGAATCTACATGTGTGCGTCCCAGATAAGGAAAGGTTCACTCTTACTTGGGAACTATTCTTCCTTTTTTTCATATATTCATTCACATTTTTCCAGAGAGAACTTTGTTTTGATTCCTTGAAGTTTCACTATGTTATCTGGCAATGATGTTAAAGTCATCTTTCCTGGTGTTTGGTATATAGCAGTGAACAAACTGCAGAATCATAATGCAGCCATATAAATCATATTCTTAAACGGCGCTGAAGAATATGATAACAAAACACTAATTTTGATATACGTCTTAACTCTTCCTTTCTCTTCCATTTCTTTAGAGAAAAGGAAATTGCACAAGAGTACCGTAAGCTTTAATTTTATATTTATGTATATTTTATCTTCCTTCTTCACTTTCCACATATCCATTAATTTATGCCATTGTAAGGGTGTTGTTTTATTTTTATAATTACAAGGGCTGTGTGGATAGATTAGATAGATTTAGAAAAACAAATGAAGCAGAGGGGAAAGAAAATCTGCCCCAGGCTCTTTGGAAAAGGTCTTGCCATGTCCCTTGAGCAATGCAGAATCAAACCACCTTTGGGATTTGTTACAAAGTTGAATGTCTTTGCTTTTATATTATTGCAATTAAGTTCCCCACTCGCACCCCAGAGCCATGGTGGTTCTGAGGTTCACTGTCAATAGTTCTATCTGTGTTCCTTCTGCTGGTCTGGGCCACACAATCCATGTTACATAGTTGCCAACATCAATTCTCTGAATAAATTGGAGGCTATCCTTTTTGTCAGTTACTGCTGTCTTTGTAGAGGTTTGATATCATGCATGACATTGAACCTAGGAAACCTAGTTGGAATGTTTGTCTCTGCCCACGCCCATAGCTGCCCTTCTGCACAACACTTTCAATCACTGTAGCCGATACCAGACTTTTCTGGTTTTAAACAGAGAATGGGAACATAGGGCGTTGAGCAAATATCAGGATGGTCCTATTGAACCAGTGTTGGCAACTATGAGTTTATTAATTTCCATGTCATTCTGTTTACTTGGAATTTGCACTGCACATGTTGTGAGTGTCCGCTGTATTTATTTGCAGTTTGAAATCCCATGTCTTAACAGCAGGGGGCTGGGGGCGGGAAGTCTCTACTGAGTGTTGTTCACTAACATGGGAAGAGTTCTGAACAAAACAGAATGCTAAAAATCATCTTCATACACAGTGACATGGCATTCCATTATCATCCCATCAGGAGCCTCTATCTTGTAGCAATAAAGTAGCATTGCAAATGTGCTTCTAATATTCAGTACAGGACAGTTGTACTGCCTTTCCAAATACTTGAAGAAAAAATGATATTATCAATAAGTCTGTTAGCTTTATCTTTTTACAATCCTATCAATATGTGGCAACTTAAAGGAACACAAAGAGGCAATGAGTGTTGGGAAAGTGACAGGACCTAGAGTGTATGAATGAGTTGGTTTTAATGTTTTTCTTATTGATGGTACACAAGCACTGACCGGATGATTAAGAATAATTTAATCTCCACTGTGATACAACTTAAGCAATAAACATGGATTTAATATAGAAACAAATGGTTGGAAGCACATCTTTATTCAAACACACTTGTCTGTTTATGTGTATACTTAACAGCTATACCCTTTGTGTGCATGGCTAATATCTGTTAGGTTTTATATTCTTGTGTGCGTATGTTCTGTATATACACTCAGTCACACATTACATAACACAATTGAAAAGAACAAATACTCCTATTTCTTCATGCCTTTGGTCCACTGTCAGTTTAATAAAATGGGCTCACTTAAGCCTGCAACATTGTGTTCTAGTACAGTGCAGTTTTTCATCATATGGAAATTCTTGGACATTGCTCACTGTGTGAAAAATAAAGCAAGAAAAGAATCAGTGTGGTACCAATATTGAAGTTATTTAGATTGAGGAATAGCTAATTTCCAGAAAATCTTCCAGGTATCTCTGTCTTGTACCTAGTTTGTATGCTCCCTAACATACCTGACACTTTTTATTCTAGATATGTTTGTAGACCAGACCATTCGAGATATGTTTGTAGAAGTAAATCCCTACTGGGAGTAATGGAAGCTAGGGTTGATTAGTGTAACTATTTAGGAAGAGCTAATTCGACAAAAACTTCCTTGTGTTTATTAGATGTGTCTATGAGGAACACTGTTCATGTGAATTGGCTACCGTGAATATCCCCAAAAGGCACATCATGATCTGTGTGAGAAAATTCACCCAGCTTGTCACGTGCACAGCAGCAACTTGTGCTTTTGGCAACCAGTTGTCACAACTGATTTGCAACAAATATTTTCACATAACCTCAAAGTGGTTGCTGTTAAGTCCTGTTTGCCCCCAAAGTTTTGATGATCTTGTAGTCCTTAGTATTATACCTTCACAATAAATTGGTTGGGAGAGACTCTCATAAGACTGCTGTTCCCAAATGATTAATTTCTTAGTACAGTGGTCTCTCGGGTTAAGAACTTAATTCGTTCTGGAGGTCCATTCTTAACCTGAAACTGTTCTTAACCTGAGGTACCACTTTAGCTAATGGGGCCTCCTGCCACTGCCACGCAATTTCTGTTCTCATCCTGAAGCAAAGTTCTTAACCCGAGGTACTGTTTCTGGGTTAGTGGAGTCTGTAACCTGAAGCGTCTGTAACCAGAGGTACCACTGTATAGTTAGGAAAGTTAACTTGCCATGTAATTTTCCTGAGTTTGTTTATTATCTGTTATTTTATTTCATAAAAATTATACACCACTTGATTGTTAAAAACCTCAGAGTGGTTTACAAAGGGAATAAAACAATGAAAGCTGGATGTTGGCATTTCACCCAGCTGTTTCTTTTTCTCCTCATTTCCCTTCAGGGAAAGATGATCCTTCAGAAACCTCAATGGGAGCAGTTCAGGAACAGCAAATTCATTTGAGCCATTGTCTTTCATATGATTTTTATAAATCAAGATTGCATCATGTCAGCATTGTTGGGTGATAGTGTAAAATTAGCGTTGCTTAGTTTGAATAGTGAAGATGGAGTTAATTTTTCTGCTATTCAGTGAATTAAAACCCATGTTACCTGAGTACTTGGAGAGGTGCTTAAAATAACTGAATAAACAGAAATTATGACACGCATTTAACTAAGCTGCTTTTGTATTGGCTCCAGAAGAACACACAACATTTTAAAACACACACAAACAAACAAATAGTTTAAAACACACAATTCCACATTGACATTGCTGTTTAGCTCAAATGTATCAAATTGTGTCTTTCAAGTTAAAGTTCATTTAGAACTGCGTGTTCTCAGAGCAAAGGAATGTGTTCAAAGCAAGTGATTAATTATGTACTTAATGTGAATTTTCATGCCCTGTTTTAAAAGTCAGATTAATGTAGGAATGGGATGAAACAGAATTCTGAGGCCTGTGAAAGCAAAACAAAGCAAAAATAGACTGATCTTTCTATCCCCACCCTGAAGAATAGATTTTTTTGGTCAACTTCATGACAAAAGGCTAAACTTTATATGAATGTCAATTGGTAGTATAGTGTGTGGGTGGGGAGTGTATTTATACATTTACACATGCACATTAGTACTTTTTGGTAATGCTACTCACTGGTACAGAGTTCTATCACTTGGGGGGAGGGTTGTGCTTGTGGCGCTTATATGAAAATGCAAGTACCAGCACCTCATTTTTTAAAACAGAAAATGCACAGAATGTGTGTATGTAAATTTTTGGTCCCCACAGGGTGTGAAGAGGGGAGTTGGTCCATTTATTCAAAAATAAAATACATGCAGCTTCCAGTGATATGTTTAGCATCATATGTAGCTTGATCTGCCAATGTGTGCATTTAAAATAGCTGAAGGGAGCTCCAGTACTTGGATATATTGGCATAGTGATGCCATTGTATTGATACACTTGTCCTTTGAAGGGCCCTTTTTTTTTTTTTTGCATTTCAAGGTAAACAACTTTTAGCACCGGAAGGATTATATAACAAGACAACTTGTCCTCAGTTTTCACATGATACATGGTGTTTCTATATGGTAAGTAGATTACTGACAAGTGGATTTTTAGGAGGTGGGTACAGGTTTTTAAAGCTGATATGGTTATGCTTTGAAGACATATTTAGCACATGTACATTGAGGAGGAGACTCCCAAGGCTTCAGAAATGGTGGAACCCATGGGCTTCTGTATTCAAGGCTTGGTTTGCGCACATTTTATGAGGTATAATAAACCTAGATTAAAACACTGATACAGTCTAGGGGCTAAGTGAGTTGAAAGAAAACAGAACCGCTTGACTCAAGACTGTTTTTCCTCTTACGTTCCCTCCCACTTTCACAAGGAGAAATCTACTTTCTGTTTTCCGTACACCAAAATAGAACTATGTCTATTTTGACAAGTATTGGTGAGGTGGCTGGGCTTGCATTTTGCCAGTGAGTTGGGGTTTGATGGTCTCAGATCAGATGGTTTGATGGTCCCAGATCATTATTGATACATAGCCTACTATATTTTGTCTAAATGGCAGTCATTGCTGAAAAAACTGTCTTGCAACGATACACACTACCAAACGGGAGCAGCACAGATATTCCTTTATCGGCAAGTTCAGGATACTCAGTAACTGAGTAATTTTGGGGAAATCCCACTTCCAAAAAATGTATCTTGGATGGTCCTATCACACGGCAGTCCAGTGAGTTGTTCTTTTTGCACAAGACAACTTTGTAAATTGTAAATGGGTTTCATGCCTACTCTCATGTCTGTTTCTTCAGTAGAAATGCAGCTTACAAATTTTGACTAAGCAAATGTAAAATCAACCTTGGCTTAACTATGAATGAACCTTGGCAGCAGTTCAGGTGTCAGTCCTTCACAAGGTGCTTGCATCCTGCACTGTTTTTGAATGACTGTTACAGCTCACCATTTGGGCACCTGCGCATCAGAGGCGAGCTGCATTAGGCATTCAAAAATCCTGCACAATCACCTTGTGGCAAACTGTTGTGGATCTCCTGCCTGCAAACATGTAAGATTCAGGCCTTTCTGGCATTTGGTTACAAGTGTCACCACAGCATTATAATACACCAACAAACCAAAAAGTTGTAAGAGGTATTTATCATATGAGTTAAGGTTTACAAGCGTGTGTGTGTGTGTGTGTGTGTGTGTGAGAGAGAGAGAGAGAGAGAGTTTTTTACCTATAAAACCCATGATCCCGTTGTACAGACTTTGTGACCCACAGATTGGGAAACATTGATCTGCGGAACAGAAGAATAATGAAACACATGCAATCCCTTTCATTGTCTTACATTAAGTATTTGATTTGTCCATAAGAGGAGGGAACAAAAGCACTATGAATGACGTTACTTCAGTATCTGATGAGGAAAAAGTGGACTTATTCTCTACATGTTTCCATCATGGGTACTTAACATGAGTTAGAGTTAGCAGTACAGAATTCTGCATGCACTTTTGGGAAGTAAGAACCCAAATACCCAATTCCTGATTTCATAAATTATAAAGTACAATTGTGAGGTCCATGCCCTGAGAGGACTTCATACACTTAAGTCAGGGCTGAGGAGCCTTAGGCTTGGGGACCAAGTCTTGCCTCCAAGGCTATCTGCCTAGGCCTTGGGGTCCTCCTCAGCCATACACCCTACTGATGTTGTTTTGGATATTTTCTTAGTGTTTTTGACTGGCTGGAATGTGTACTTGAATTTTGATAATGTCTGTAGCTTGCCTGGATGGGGAGATAGAGAGGGGTGTGTGCCTGCGTGTGTGAAAACTAGCCTTTTGTACAAAGATACCATCTACATTTTACATTAACTGTTCCACCTAGTTTTGCCTCTGGCTCTGCCCATATCTGGCAAATGGCTGAAAAAGGTTCACCGCCCTGCCTTTAGTGGTTGTAGAGAAGAACCTCAGCAGCTGTGACTTTTGTCATCCTAGTGTTGTATTGATAGAACAAGCTGAAGGGGACGTCCTGTGCCGCCTGCCCACTTTCACAAGAAGAAATCTATTTTCTGTTTTCCCTACTTCAGCCCCCCAGAAGCTGCTATGGAGGGTTCCTCCCACCTTCTAGCTCATATTCTGGCGAGTACAGAAGTTTATGGGAGGAATGTGAAGGAGAAGCCCTGTTATGCTAGTAGACACCACCTTATGCTATGTTGGAACTCACCCTGAATCTGATTGAATTTTCCTATATTCTTCTATACCCTAAGTTTCTACAGTGTCCCATCATTTTTCTTTATTTCTTTATTTCTTTTCATTAGTTCTTTATTGTAATTAAGTGTTTCGTGGCTTTGATACATTTATTTATCTTTGGTACTGTAGGCCTTATGCAGTCAAAATTGAGCAGTCTTCACTGAAATAAAAACAAAAGGACTTGAAAGTGCCAAATACTGGATGGATCACAACCATTTTGAGATACCCTCAATGCACTGCTTATTTAAAAACACATTAGCTAGCTTAGAATCTCCCAAGATTATTTCTTAATTCCTCAGGGGTAGGCTTAACCCTGGTCCTCACATTCCTGCAGTATCATGCTCTCTCTGCTGTGTTATCTCCAAGGGCTTAAAAAAATTCAGCATTTGTCAAGTATCACTTGTCTATTGTAGAAAAAGATTTGGAGACCTACTTCTGTCCGACAAGGAGTAAGACATAATTCAATGTATTATAATATTCAAAACCATCAGATATATTTTCAAACTATAATGTGATTTTAAAACAATCCTTCAGATAGGTCTAGGGGTTTTTTGTGCTAGTACCTGTGGAGTTTATTTGGGGTGCTGGTGAGAGAACTAAGGGAATTTGTTTCTCTCCTTGTGGTTTTTGTGGGTAACAATTTTATGATGAAGTTATGATAAGTTGTACTGGTGCCCTTGAGAAAGTAGACTACAATGTTCCAGAGGGATGGGGGCAGGTTCTAGGGAGTAAGGTGGGTAGGGGGACAATTACAAGCATGTGTTCTCCACAATTGGCACCAAAGATCACAGAGATGATAAGTAGTTGTTTGAACAGGAGTGGATGAATGGGCAAATAGCACAGAGGCAGAAGGATACGAATGTCTGGCATTTTCTGAGCAAGCACCATGAGTAGAACTAGCAAAGAACTCAGAACAGACAAGAACAGGACAGTAAGTTACATCGACATCATTCCCCTAAAGCACTGTTTTTGGAGAGCCCTGTTAAAATAATCTCTGGTTGAAAGCTAGACCTGCTGTCACAAAACAGCTTCTGCTTTCCCACCCTGCATTTTAGTATACATGCAGGTCTCACTATCCTAATGCAATGCATTCTCAGGCAAGTGTTCACACAGTGAGTTAATGATTTCCCTTGATGCCTATGGGAAAATTTATAATGCGTTCCCGACCATGGAATTTTGACACCAAAATGATGGAAAAACCCTAGAAAAATCTCCAAAACATTGCAAAAGGAATACAAGGAAGGAAAACATGCTCTTATTTGTCTGATCTCGCTTGCTGTCTTCCACCATGGTTTCTGGTGAAACGGCTGCCACAGACCAGCAAAATACAAAAACTAAGGCTTGTTTAAGACTACTGATTTGTTCACAGTACTACACACAGGTCCAGCTGTTTGAATATTTGAATCTGCTGTGTGCATAGTGAGGTTGGGTACGAATTCCTCATGTTTGGCTAAGTGAATTTTCATACAACAAGCATTTGGATAGTGGGAGCTGCATGTTCAGCAGTCAGGGGAAATGTTTCAAGGGTACACTGCAATGTTGTTTTTAAACATACAAATCTCTGAATGGTTTTAGGCATCTTTGGCTCAGGCACTTTGGAGAGATCCTGATTTAGATGAGAAGAGCCCTGAATCTGTCTGAAGCTGCCCTGCTACAGTTCTTCAGTTGAGATTCATCCATATCTTTTACCTCCAGCAGTTCCATAAATTACGGTATATCCACTAAATGCTAAGATAAAAAGACATGGATTCAATTTTGCAAGTGGCTTTGGGTTACGTTTTGTAAAGAAAAGCAATTAATGAGTGCAATAAATAATACAGGTGTACCTTGGAACAGAATCTGTTCCGGAAGTCTGTTTGACTTCCAAAATTTTCACAAATCAAAGCTCGGCT